CCCCAACACACTTGGTTAGCCCTCCAGAATCCAGACTAATAGTAACGACCGATGCAGGCTCCGATGTCATCGCCCCAGGCTCAGTCCGGAACCGGCAAGACTGCTACCTTCTCCATCTCCGCGTTGCAGAAGGTTGACACCAACCTCAAGGCCTGCCAGGCACTGATCCTTGCCCCCACCCGTGAGCTGGCCCAGCAGATCCAGAAAGTCGTTGTTGCCATTGGTGACTTCATGAGCATCGAGTGCCACGCTTGCATCGGTGGTATTTCCGTGCGTGATGATATGAAGGCTCTCCAGGAGGGTCCCCAGGTTGTCGTGGGAACGCCCGGCCGTGTTCATGACATGATTCAGCGCCGTGTGTTGAAGACTGATCACATGAAAATGTTCGTTTTGGATGAGGCTGATGAGATGCTTTCGGTAAGTATATACACTGATATCTTTCGAGATGCATCACTGTTCACTTGTGTCATATTTTGTTAACAATTCGCCAGCATGGTTTCACCGAACAAATCTACGACATCTTCCAATTCCTCCCCCAATCCACTCAAGTCGTCCTCCTCTCTGCCACAATGCCCCAGGACGTCCTCGAGGTCACCACAAAATTCATGCGCGATCCTGTCCGCATCCTCGTCAAGAAAGCTGAATTGACCCTCGAAGGTATCAAGCAGTTCTACATCGCCGTCGAAAAGGAGGAATGGAAGCTCGACACTCTCTCCGACCTTTACGAAACTGTCACCATTACCCAGGCAGTTATCTTCTGCAACACCCGGAGAAAGGTCGACTGGCTCACTGACAAATTGACCGCGAGGGACTTCACTGTCTCCGCCATGCACGGTGATATGGAGCAGAGCCAGCGTGACGTTATCATGAAGGAGTTCCGCTCTGGCTCGTCGCGTGTACTCATCGCTACTGACTTGCTTGCCCGTGGTATTGATGTCCAGCAGGTTTCGTTGGTTATCAACTATGACTTGCCCGCTAACCGCGAGAATTACATCCATCGCATTGGTCGTGGTGGTCGATTTGGCCGGAAGGGTGTTGCTATTAACTTCGTTACCGCTGATGATGTACGGATGATGAGGGAGATTGAGCAATTTTACAGCACCCAGATTGAGGAGATGCCCATGAACGTTGCTGGTATGTGTTAACAAACACTCCCTTTACCTCTTTTCCTGACATGCACTAACAATGTACACCCAGATCTCATCTAAACGCAGCAAACGAACTGAAAAACTTTACTTTTCTCCCTCGCCTGTCTCTTTACTCTGTCCTACCCGGTATGATGATCCCTTTTTCTCAAAGAGGTCCTCGGATGTGCCCTTAATGTCTCTTGACGTTTTCTTCAAACACATTTTATTTTCCAAAGTTAACCGCAACCGCAAACAACAACCCTCACCCAACGGTTCGTTTCAATGGTAGTGGATGAAGAAGCAAATTTGGCAGATGATTAAAGATTTCGAATTCTGTTTCCTGTTCACCTCCCAGTGTTCCCCGTTTTGCTCCCGCACCCACCACACTTGTTTCCCCCACCATACTCGTCTTTTAAAGCAAAAGCGTATTCCTCTATTGTTGGGTTTTATCGTGATAACTTTGTTTTCTTTTTTTATTTTCCCTTCTATGGCTCTATGGTTGGCTGGCATGATGGGATGCAAAAATTTTTCCTTATTTCCCCCTTTTTTTTTCTTTCTATATTTTTTTTTATCAAGTGCTTTGGCATAGGGTAAAACACAAGGCAAAACATGTACAGCATACCAAATCGGGATGAGAATGCTGGGCTTGTTTTTCATGTGACTGCTTCCTTTTGCTGGCTTCGTGAGGTTACTTATTTATTTTCCTTCTCAAAAAAAAGAACCCTAAAGGGACTGTTCTGTATGTTGGACTCGAGTCTTGTTTTTCTTTCTTCTTCCCCCTGTGTCCTTGTCTTGTGTGCTCCCTTTTTCCTTGCCTAACTGTGGTTTTGATGTTCTTAGTCACTGTCCTCTTATCTCTTACTCTCCCTATGTTCCCTCTATTTGTCCACATTATGAGTTCTTTAAATTCCAGTTCCCAATTCTTTTTATTCTTTCCCTTTTTTAACTCGTCTCCTATTTTCGCAGACGTTTGTATGGCACGTAGGTTCTTCTTTTATACATCGTCCCTTCATGCTTGTGATATGTGGTGTGATTGCATAAAAGATAACTATTCTAAATTGCTTTGGTTTCATATATGATATGCCCCCCTTCTCTTCACCATTTTTGTGGGAAGGATTTTAGGTTGGGGGTGTTGGGAAATGTGAATGTGTGTACTCCATGGAGGTTTTTGTCGGAGACGAAAAGAGGTCGAGCATGAGCACTTGTACTCAAGATACAGGTGAGTGAGAAGGTTAGAGGGCACTTTCGAGTTAGAAGATGTTTGCGATGATGTAACATGAGGGACAAGATGGAGTGAGCAAAATCAAGGGGTCAACAGGGCTCTTTTGAGTCTGTTGACCCTTAAGAGTTCCTCTAGGCATGATTCTTGCGTTACCGACCAGATGGTTCAAAAGGATACCAACCATGTCTGGGATTGCCTGAGTTTTTCTCTTTATCCTTTTTCCTCTTGTTCAACTTGATGAGAAGGATTCCATTCCTTCTTCGCTTTCAGAATGTTAATCCGTGATTAACATTCGAAACTTTTTCTGTCTCTCTCCGTTTAAGCCCTGACATTTTTGCTGCAGGCATTTGATTTGCTGAAGAAAATGATTTCCCCCTTTTTGGCTTCTGCGTATTTCTTCAAATCTCTCCCTGCTAGATACAAATAGCAAACCCAAAAACATAAAGTCCTTGATATGGTGAGTTGAAGCGGCCCGCTTGTTTTCCATACATGGGATTCCGGGAAAGGGGGCGGCAGTGTGTGGTGTTCCACCCATATACCGAGGGAGACACCTCGAGGGAGGAGACGACTTGACACGAGTTGGGCAACCAACTCCCTGACTACTCAACCACCCATCCCTCATCTGGCCAGCGTATGATATACCCGCCCATTTCTCGCAAGTGTGTAACTGCAGAAGCGAGAGAGGTATTCTCATTTCACGTGGAACTATATGTATACATGGATTGACGACATTGCCTGTCCGTCTCTGAGCGAGCCTCGACAGCTCTACCTATCATTATCAAGAAAATCGCTCCATTCTTTTTCAGACTTGCTATTCGCGTCTGCATTCACTGTATAAATCATTAATTCCTTATCTATACCGTGATCATTCCCTTACTCGTCAATTCTACGACGACACGGGGCTCCATCGACCCTGTTCTTACGTCTACATCTACATCTAGAACGCGTCAAACACAAGCTTCCAACTCCCTGCCACTTATTATCATCATATCAGACAGTCCTACATGTGAATAGTGCTAACTGTGAACACAATGAACCCACCTCCACCTCCACCTCCAGCCCCAAATCCAAGCTCAGCTCTCAATCCCACTTCCTCTCCCAACCCAAACCCCAATCCACCTGCAACCTTCTCCCCCACCTCCCTTCTCTGGGCCCACCAACTTCGTCGTGAACACAAAGTCCTAGTCTCCCGCCTGGACGCGCTGGAAGGGACCCTGACATCTACTTCCGCTAAGCTTATCACAAGGACAGATGCGTTGAAAGAGGAATTGGGAACGAGACTGACGGGACTTGAGGGCTTGGTTGCGATGGTTCAGGGGGGGTTGGATGGCGCTAGAGTGGACGTAAAGGGGATTATAAGGGATGTTGAAGAGGTAAGAGGAGACGTTGAGGGATTGGAAGGGTGGAAGGGTGCGGTTGAGGGGAGGGAGAGAGAGAGGAACGAAAGGGAAAAGGTCAGTGAGGAAGGGAGGAGGAGGGATGTGGAGGAGAGGAAGGGAGGAAGGGAGATGATTGAAGGTGTGGAGAAGGGGTTGAGAGAGGTTATGACAGAGATTAAGGAGTTGAAGGGGATTGTGGAGGAGTTGAGGAGGGGGAGGGATGGTATGGAGAGGGAGAGGGAGAGCGAGAGGGAGAGGGAGGGGGAGAGGGAGAGGGAGGGGGAGGGGGAGATGAAAAGAGAACGGGAACAAGAAATGGAAAGGGAAAGAGAAAGGGGTGAGTTTTCTTTTTAATTCCCATCTTCTTACATCCGTTCTTTCTGCCATGAAGTTTACGTATACGTCCATCTACACCCCACAAGCCAAGGCTAACATACATCAACCGAAGCACCTCACATTCCTTGCCCCTATCCCAATCTCCCCACACACTTTCGGGACGACACCCAACAACATCGCTCCTCCTCGTTACCACCAATAACCTCCTATCATCGGCACATCCATCAACGCAGACAGCATCAACCAATGCCCTCCACAATATCCGGCACACCGACGGCCTCCCACCTCCCAACCTCAGCATTAACCCGCAGCTCTCCCCCACCGCAATCGCACCAACCACAAACACAACCAGAGTACTCAGCCGTCCTCGTCCCAGACTCGATCCCACCAGCACCCCCGACATCCCCCACTGAACCGCACTTATCGCTCATAGCTCACCCCTCGGAGAAATTGGACATGGAATATGAATATTCCATGTCAGCAGGAGCACGAGAACAGACTGGCGCAGGCACTGTAATACCAACTCTGCGCCAGAGACCCAGTGAATCACTCCATTCCTATTTGGAACGTGGGGAAGCTGTGCTGGCGCGGTTTCCGCGTCAGGAGGAGAATAGAGTTGTGCTGGCTTTTTGGGGGGGAGTTAGGGATGTGGAGTTTAGGAGGATGTTGGAGGAGGGGCTGAAGACGGTGGGGTGGAGGTGGGAGGTTGTTAGGGGGCTAATTTTGGAGAAGACGGAAAGGGAGGGTTGGGAGGAGAGGGAGAGAGTTTGTGGTGTCAGTAACAACGGGGTTAATAGCTGTGGGGATGTAGCTGTGCCTAGGGTTGGGGTTAGGGTTGTCAAGAAAAGGAAGACGAAGGTGAAGAGGAGGAGGGTTATACCTGTTATTTGGCCGGTTGAGGAGGAAGGGGAGGAGGGAGAAGAGGGAGAGGAAGGGGGATGGTTTGTGATGCGGAATGGGTTGACTTAATAATCATTATATAAATTCAAGCCTGGAGGGCTAGGTGAGCCGATAGAGTCTATGATTCTATGATTCCATGTCCACCTATTTATCCCGAAATGGGTATATCCTTTCTATGAACCAAAAATCCTATTCACGCATGCATGCAGAAGCATACTATCCCAAATGAAAAAGAAAAGAAAGGTAACCCAAAAAAAAAATCCAACTCTTAAAACCCTGCAAACTCAAATCTCCCCTCCGTCCTATCCCTAACCTCCACCTCAATCCCTCCCTCCTCAACCTCAACCCCATCCACCTCAATACCCGCCTTCATCACCTGGCCCCCCACCACCTCTCCCACCCCCTTAGGCGTGCCCGTCAGCACCAAATCCCCCGGCTCAAGTGTCATCACGCTCGAGATATCCGCCAACTGCCTCGGGATACGGTACAGCATTAGGTTCGTGTTATCGCGTTGGCACAGCTGGCCGTCAACAGAGAGGTGGAGGGTTGCGTTGTGTGGGTCTGTGATACGGGATTTGGGAATTAATGAGGAGATGGGGAGGAAGGTGTCGAAGCCCTTTGCGATGGACCAGGGGAGGCCGGCCTTTTTGGCGGAGTCTTGGATGTTGCGGGCTGTTAGGTCGATGGCGAGGGCGTAGGCTGTAGGTTTTAGGCTGGGTTAGCTGTGCGTGTGTGTTATTTAGACGTATAGATATGTAACTATGTCATGGGTTTCAATTGACTAGTTTTGCCGGTTGGGTTGAGAAGTCACCCCGTACGTACCTGATATAGCATCCAATGCATATCGTTCGTTCAATGGGTCAAGATCACGTAAAGTCTTGCCAATTACGAGTGCCAGTTCGACTTCATAATGTAATTTCACGCCCTTGGGCCGCAGGACGGGACCGGAGTTTGGGGGTAGGATGGATGAGGACGGTTTGAGGAAGAAGAAGGGTTGTTTAGGGAGGACATTGTTGAGCTCCGTAATGTGGTCCCTGTCCTTGTAGATGTTTGCGTTAGTGAGTTGTACGCTATGGCGCATGGGATTTGTAGTTGCAAATGGAATAGGAATGTTGTGCGTTGGAGACGGAGGAGGGGCTTGACGTACGCATAGTTCCGGCCTATGCATATTACCTTCCGGCAATTGGCACGGATGGATGCCATTGATTGCTTTAGTATATATCCCCTAATGAATTGCCTATCAGCTTCTCCGGTGCTAAAGGATATAGAGGGCGTAGCAATGTCCGTGGGCGTGTTTTCATTCCATCATGGGCCGTTCCAGCTGTAGTCGGCACTTCTTTCCGGCTATCGCATGCCTGCAATTAGAGTTTGATGTTCGGCAGTTCGGGAAGCTTCATCACGTGATTGTAACTGCTTACGGGTTTGGCAACGTATCGACGGGACAACATCACCTTCGAAAGATATTCGTATACGGAGAACGATCACCTACTGCAATACTAGAATACTGTTCAATTCAAAGCAGATTCTCTAACTTTCAATATGCCAATGAGGGTCGCCGAAATTCTGTCGGATCTGACATCTCTGAGGGTCTGTGTAAGTAATACCCTCCGTCGACCACCTTTCTCGTATCGACTGCAATAAAATCTCTCTGTCCGTGACCCAGCCGACATTCTCTGTCTTCATATTGCTCATAGGGACATCCTGAGGCACTAGTTCTTGTCAACGTCCACAAGACTCTTTCCAACTCAGAGACAGATCACCAACAACATACGCAGCATTCCCGTAATAATAATGCCCAATCCGAAGATTTGCGACGTGCCCGAGACCTCATCGAACTGCATAATGATGTCATGTTGAAGCAGCTGAATAGGCCGGGTGTCGGGTTAAATGAAGAGCTCCGAAAGGCTAGACAGGATGTTGATCGTGTGCTCCGGGAGCTGGATAGATGAGGGAAACCGCGGGGAATCTGAGATAATGATGAGAATTGACCATTTGAGGGAAAACTAGCATATATGAGATCAAGATTTCATTGGCCTATGGATGAAGATTAGTACCTCATTTGAATTATGGGATTTCAGACCAACATCCGATGCTGCCATGAATTGCACAAGTCACAGTCCAGAGCGCATAAGGCTCTGGCTTGATTAACAGATTGAGCCTTTGCGTGGACCTAATGGAGTTCAGAGGTCGGCTAATTGGATAGATACGTCGAGTCATATCCAATTGAAGTTGGTAAAGAAGAATGTGGCTTTCTTTAAAGAACTGATAATAAGATGGTTGCTCAAGTTCCCTTTGGGGTAGATGATAGGGGGGACATTTCATAGGGTCATCACATCGTATTACTGATAGTTAGCTTTGCCGTAACCGGGACCAATAGGAAAAATTAAATCAAGAAGCGCATAGGTAACGATCTTCGTAAACTTCTCTCTTCAATTCCATGATTCTTTGTATCTCCCTTATTACTTCTGTGCATGAATTCTTACTTTCCATCTCTGGACTTGACGGAGAGGTAGTCGTTGCCATTGAAATTCTCACGTGATCACTATTTTCCGGCTGCATGTTATTCCGGCTCCAGAAACTCCAGCGCACCAAGCAGACCAACAGCGCGTTTGACAAGTCGAACGACTCAAAATCGAAGCTTGAAACCAACAACGTTTAGCCGTGCTCAGCCAGCAAGTCCAGCCGTGAACAGCACCAAGCACCAGCCTCAACTGCAAACTAAATCTTTATACGCGGTGACTGCTGCTCACCATGGCGACCACTGCGGAGGCAAAGTTAAGACGGCAGACCAAGTTCCCGCCGGAGTTTGCGGAAAAGGTGGATATGAAAAAGGTCAACATCGAGGTCATGAAGAAGTGAGTTCAACTGCCTTTTTAGTTTGTTTGGCGTTGAGCTTGTTCCTTGGATGAGGAAAAGATTGCTGACCATATCTCCGGCAGATGGATCGCTGGCAAAATATCCGGAATCCTGGGGAATGAGGATGATGTGGTCATCGAGTTATGTTTTAATTTGCTGGAGGGGTCGCGCTTTGTAAGCCTGATCTAGTCCTATTCTTAAGCTGAAAGGAACCGGACAAGGTGACATGATTTGACCTTCAACATATATTCTAACTGGTCCTATTGTTTTATTTTGTAGCCAGATATCAAGCTTCTACAGATACAGCTCACCGGATTTTTAGACAAGGACACTCCCAAGTTCTGTAAGGAACTCTGGAATCTATGCCTCAGCGCACAAACCAGTCCACTGGGCGTGCCCAAAGAGCTATTGGAGGCTAAGAAACAGGAATTGAAACAGGAAAAAGTGATTGACCCCAAAAATGAGCGGGACACAAAGCTTTATAATAGCATCACATGCTAACATACGAGGGTAGCTCGAATCCGAACGACAGGCTGAAGAAGCTAGGCAGAGGAGGGAAGAAGAGAGGATGCGCGAGCGTGAATTGGAAGTGCTGCGGCAGCGGGAACGTGCCGAACGTGGTCGTGGAGGTGGCAGGGATCGATGGAGTGATCGAGACGCCCGTTCGCCACCCCGGCGGAGGAGCCTGGACAGATTTCGTGATGGGCCCGCCCGGCGCAAAGCAGATACTTGGGCTCCCTCGGGAGGTAGGAGTTCGCGCTGGGCGGAAGATCGCGGTCGATGCACCTCTAGGCCAACATCCCTATCTCCATCCAGATCTACGTCTCGTTCCTCACCATCCCCATCTCCGCACAGGAAGAGCCGTGGTCGTCACCGGCCACACACACGGCGTCGGCGATCACTAAGTAGTTCCCGTTCGCTGGATAGGAGGGGTCTCAAGAGGAGAAGAAGACGTAGCCCTGATCGTGATGACGATCGTACTAGATCTAGTTCTATGAGTAGATCAGATCGCTCACGTTCTCGTTCTCCCAGAAGACACAGGAGAAGATCCCCCATCTACAATGACCGCAGCATGTCGCGCTCCCGCTCCCCGTCTCCAAGAAATAGTCGCTATCAGCGCCATCCACCTTCGATCTCTCGATCCCGATCCCGATCCTCATCTCGCCGAAGATCACGATCACGCACTCGAGGGAAAGGTGAAAAACGCGGTGAGAGGGGGGGGCGCTGGAGAAGATCACCATCATGCGGTGCTAAAGATGATAAAAAAGGCGAACCACGAGCTGATAATGTTGGCAAGGACCATCTTTTGAAATCCCGCGAGGATCGTCGTCGCCTAAGTCGCAGTCGCAGTCGTAGTCGCAGCCGAAGTAAACATAGGCAGAGCCACCACCGCCGTCGAAGGAGCCCAAGCAGAAGTCGAAGCACATCTCGCTCCCACTCTCGTTCTCGTTCTCGTTCTCGCAGCCCGTTCCGCGATTGCGAGCGGGAGCGTGAACGTGGCCGTTGTCGCTCCCGTAGCCTTGTACGGCGTGAACCCAAGGGTGACAGGAAGAGGCACCAGTCTATTGAAAGATATGCCCCAGCTGCTAGAAGACGCCGTAATAAGAGCGCTTCGGCTTCCCCACCTCCTCCCGTAGAGAAACGGCAACTGATGGCTGATTCACATGAAGAAGACAAAAGAGAAGACGAGGATGCAGCAATAAAACGATCATCCGCTTCTCCTGGCCTGCGTAACGGAGGTTCAGAACTGAAAGAGAAGGAGGATGGGAAAGTGAAGGAACACGAGAAGGAGAAAGCTATGAGCACTGACGAGGTTGGTAGCTGAAGCCCTTTTTTATATATATTTTAGCCGGCGGTGAAAGTGGACGGAGAACTCATGTTCGTGATGGAATCCCCCACCCCTCTTCTAGTCTGCTTTTTCCCCCTCTATAGCTAGTTAATTTAAATTCCTAACTCTCTTTTACACTTCGCGTTTAGAAGCCAGCCCAGCCCTTGAAAGCCCGTTTAACGGGTACGGAGCTACGTGAGAGACTAGCACGGGAGAAAGTTAAGGCATTGCGCCGAGAAAGCGCAGAGGTGAAGGCGAATGCTTCGCAAACAGAGTAAGTTATATACATAGTTTGGAGCTGCAACAGTTGCTCTAGACTTCCTTTTGAGCTACATTTCGGGTATGGATGAAGATACGATATTGTCATGTCCAGCAATACCTGCTTCTAGGGCATGATCTTTCTTGATCCGCTTTTACAGTTCAATTTTCCTTGCGGCATCAGCGATTCTGGTTTCGGGGACTTCCTGTTGTTCAAATTCTGTTTTAATTACAAGCCTTCACATTCTATTTTGCTTTCCTGATCAGGAGCATCGAAAATACCTAAAAACGGACTCCCGTCGTAAAAATAAGTTATGGGGAAATTGGTCATAACGCGCGGGGGACATCTCGTCCCTTCTGCTGCTTCCTGTGGATGGGTTGTTCTTCTGCGGAAGTGGTTAGTCTCAGAAACCCAACTGGATTAATGGAAGTTTTCCGCCCTGGTTTCATTGTTTTACAGCGTGGATGGGTATATTTTGGTTGGAATCTGTTACATGATCCTATGGAAAAGATAGGGCAAACACCCCCCTGCACGATACCCACCCATCTCCTCATGATCGCGTCAAATAGACCAAATTCGTGCTCACGGGTTAAACTACTACAATAGTTGATGTCAGTGTTTCTGCTTATGTAGATATATAGAGCACACCAATTTCCACGGTTCTTCCGGTCGCGTTCCCTCGCAAAGGCGCGTTGTCATGGAAACGGTGTTGACAGTAGCACGTGATGCAGCTCCAACCGACTTCTAGATCTCCGCTCATCCCAATCCATATATCCTCAAGCTACCACCATGACATGACCGCATACCAAACGTCCACTCTACAACTTCCAGCCAGAGTGGATGCCATTATGAATTATCGATATGGCAGCTACAGCTCCCCCAGCCCCACTCCAAACTGCTTTGCCATACGGCAACAGCTTCCAACACCCGGCGTCGCGACTTCAACAGCTACCTCGATCAACAACCTCTCGATCTCTTTCCAACCATGCATCCCCAAATACAGCTGCCGCAGCACCCACATTTAATACTGGTCTATTCCCGATGTCAAGGCCACGATCCTTTTCCATTGGAGACAGCTCCGACGACGATTTTCCCGAGCCCATTAAATTTAGCGCATCCGTCAAGGCACTTCTGGGAGAGGAAGACGGATCGAACATTGACGCCTCCCCGCGCACTGGAGGCTGCATAAATAAATCGCCAAAAGAAGGCATCAGCGTGAATGGCGAACAACACCGGACTTTGCTAGTTCGAAAACCACAAGAGAGACAAGTACGGATTGCGTCGCCAAGGGAACGTGATCTGGGAAGCCCACCTCCTAGGGTCGTGAGGGTGAATTCGCCTCGACTTTCACAAAGCGGCTTAGGTAGAGACAGTCCCCAATTGGTGCAGAAGGATGAAAATTCGTCCGATGGCCAACAACAACAACAACACCATCATGGTAATGATTTCATTACGCCTGCTGCCACTCGAACCAGAGTGGTGCGAGTTACGGATTCTAGGAGGAACTCCCGTTCCCCATCTACAGTGTCTTCCAGTGGCACCAGGTCGAGTGAAAAGTCATCCAAGGAAGGCGGGAGTCGTCTCGGGGATCGTTCGTTTTCTGGGGATGAACGTCGACGCGATGAAAACGTGTATCGATCTGGTTCTGTTAGTGTGCTTCGACCACGCCCTGGTGAAGAGACAGGAATGCAAAGCTCATTACGAGTCAAAAGAGTTGGTAGATTGACGGGTTCGTTTCTCAATGGACCAGCCCGTCGTGGTATGATTAGGAGGCAGAGCGAGGAAGTTCAGCAGGAGGAGCCAGTACACGAATCGCCGACTTCGAATGTCAGTCCTCGGTTCAATGGAGAAGAGCGTCAACAGCAACAACATCAACAACAACCAAGAGAATTCGAACCTCTCTGTAATCGTGAGCAATTTGTTGAAAAATCTCAACAATACCCCAGACCCTCAGAAAATATCAGTGGCTCACCGCTTCCCGTACAAGCGCCAAAACAACTTCCTGATCCAGAGATACCAGCCGACGACGCGTTTTTAAGATCTAGCACGCCGAAACAGTCACATTCAAAATCGAGATCTCCTCTATCATTAGAACTGAAGGGATCATCGCGATCCACGAAAGAAGTACCAGCTTTCTATCAAGTGCCTCCTTTCCCACCCAGGCCTGCCAGTCGAAATCAAGAGAATGACCCACCGCCAACCTTCAAAAGATCCAAATCCAAGGGCTTCGGCCTCCTTGATAAGGCGGAAAAGTTCTCTGTTGTATACGCTGATGAGAAGGAGCCAGTTAAGCCGATGCAAACAATTCTTACTCCCCGTAGGCCTCTAGCCCCCAAGGATAACAACACTCCCCATAGACCGGCCCCACCCCCTCCAAAAATGAGTGTTTTGGAAACAGCAACTGCACCCGCAGGAGCCAGCTCATCCCAGGCTCGACGAAAACGTGTACAAGTTACCATCAATCGCAAGCCATTTACCAGATTAGACTGCATCGGGCGAGGCGGTAGCTCCAGAGTATATCGTGTTATGGCTGAGAATTGTAAAATATTCGCACTAAAACGAGTCAATTTGGAAGACGTTGACCCCATTGCAATGGCTGGGTACAAGGGAGAGATCGATTTGCTTAGGAGGCTCGAAAATGTGGATCGGGTGGTGCGACTTTTCGATTATGAGGTGAATGAGGAGAAACAGGCGCTCAGCGTCCTGATGGAAATTGGCGAGTCAGATCTTTACAGAATCCTTACTCTTCGTCTCAATGCGGAGGACGCGGTGTTTGACACTGCGTTTACGAGATATTACTGGAAAGAAATGCTCGAGTGTGTTCAAGCCGTCCACGAGTTTGACATTGTTCATTCGGATCTCAAACCTGCAAATTTTGTCCTGGTCAAGGGAAGCCTCAAACTCATTGACTTTGGCATTGCAAATAAGATCCAAGATGATACCGTCAACGTCCACCGCGAGCAACAAATCGGTACGCCAAACTACATGGCTCCCGAGTCTCTGATCGACATCAACGCCACAGACGGCCTGCCATCCACCGTTGGAAAGATGATGAAAGTCGGCAAACCGAGCGATATCTGGAGTCTAGGCTGCATCCTTTACCAAATGGTCTACGGCAAACCGCCCTTTGCACATATCACCAAGCCGCTCGAACGCATAATGGCCATTCCAAATCCCAACGTCATTATCGAATACCCTGCTTACGGTGTTGGTGGTGTCCCTGTGCCGCCGGGACTCATCAAGACGCTGAAACGCTGCCTGCAGCGGGATCAAACTCTCCGACCGACGGTACAGGAATTGTTGGCTCAGCGAGATCCTTTTCTGTATCCCGAAGCCAATTTGGAGGGCGCCGTGCCCATGACACAGGAGATGTTGGGGAGGATCTTGACGAATGTTGTCAACCATTGTAGGGCTAGAGGCCCGCCGAAGGATGAAGAATTGGCAGGGTGGCCTGCTGGGTTTTTTGGGAAGATAAGATCTGCACTTGAGGAGGATGCGCTCTGATTGGGCTTTTTTTTTTTTTTTTTTTTTTTGGTCACTGAACCATTCTGGCTTCCTTTACTATTTTTTTTTTTAACTATCTTATATCTGGCTGTGGGCTTGGAATCGTTCTATTTCTAACTTCTTTTAGCACGGGTTGGTGCCTTGGAGAAATGGGTGCCTCTCTCTGTCTCTCTCTCCATGTGGCTATTGGTCTTTCTTGGCTGTATACTATATTCCCTTGGATTGGGGATATCTTTTATTGGCTTTCTTCATTTGCTGCGTTTCAGCGTTGTTTTCCTGGCGGTCACTGCATGCCGCTTCCAGACTCCGTGGCTTGCAAAACAACTTTTTTGGGATATAACTTTCCCCCGCCGCTTCGATTACCTCGAAATTATACCTGTTGGCACACGTGAAAGTCGTTCTCTTCTGCTTTAACAGATTACTAATGTGTATATGGCCATCTACTCTATGATCCCAGCATATGCGATTGTGGTTCTTCTGGCATGATTTCTATAACGGTGGGATATGGTGGTTCAATATAAATTTCTATATCATGCAACCCCGACAGCTGAACAAAAAGCCTTTAATCAGCTTGGAAATAATATACAAACAAGTAATCCTCCCATCCCTGTCACGCCCTTACTTGTCCATAGCCAAGGACAAAGGTATCACTCCTTGCTCCTCTGACCCTCCACTTCTTCATCCACAATCTGCACCCCTTCCCTAATCAATTCATCCACACCCTTAACCTTAACATCTACGACCCTCAAAATCGTATACTTATGCTTGCTCTTCACCCGTCTCACATGTCTCTGTCTCCGCTTGGTCTTCTCCTTGATGCGCAGCGGCTCAGCCTCGGTCCCGATAACCCTTACCCGACATTCGAACAGCCGCTCATCAACATACGGCGCCCCTTTCAGGGTGAAGTCTCGAGATCCAATTACGGACGCCCTATTGAAACGAAGGATGTCACCTGGTTGCACATTGGGCATGAGGAATGGGAGGCGCAGTGTGTCGCCGGGTGTTAAAAGGTAGGGCCGGGCGTGGAGGTGGGCGGTGATGTAGTGTGGCGCTTGTGTGGTGAGGTAGGGGAGGAGGGAGGTTAGGGATGGGGTGAGAGTTAGGGGTTTCGTGAAGGTGGGTGGGATGGGGAGCTTGTTGGGAGGGATTGTCGGCGTGGACGTTGATGTGGATGTGGATGTGGATGTGGATGAGGATGAGGATGAGCTGTCTAAGATGGACAATTCTGCCTGTGATGGAATGGCAGCTTCTGAGAGTTGTGATATGCTCTGCTCATCTGCATTTATCGACGGGGTATGTGGAGGTATCTCGGGAGGTGTCGAATGGAAAGGAATTGCTGAGGATTGATGCATACATGCCGCTCGAGTGGACGGGAGGATCGAGGGCATCCACCGGATGTCCAGAGCGGTGCGGAGGGTAGATCTCGCAAACATGATTGCTGGTGGCGTGTGGAAATGTTCCCGGTGAAATAGGCGTAGATAGATAACAGAACTTGGTGTTCCGTCAGTTCTTGAAGAGCGTCCTCCCCCTACGAGATATTTATTAACTACCAAATGATCTTCGTCGCTCTTTTTTTTTTTTTTTTTTTGAAGTTGTAGAAAATCAAATCGAGATGCCGCAAATGACCGCTTCAGTAGCAGTCACGTGCATATGGTATTATGTAATTGTAATCGATAATTAATTCAAACCCTCAACTTTTTCTGCAATGAGGATTGGGGAATGTCAACAGGTGAAGCCGCTGAGATATAGAACGGGCTACAGCTTCCGTTTTTAAAATGCCTCAGAACGAGTTTGTCTATCCCTCGTCCACTGGTGCTGCTTGGATTTGTAGCCAAGTCTGCTAACGAAACCATCAGGTATATCGAACGGTGGCAGAAGCAGCACGGGAAGCGGTATGTGGATAAGCCCCGTCAAGCATATGGAGGTGACTCTGTATATCTGACGCCACAAACTGATATCTTTTTCTAGCCTTGATCATGAAGAACGCACACGCAAGCGTATAGCCCGCGAATCGCACAAGCAGTCGCACGATGCGCAAAGCTTCCGCGGCCTGCGAGCCAAGCTATATCAGAAGAAACGCCATGCGGAGAAGATCCAGATGAAGAAACGGATCCGGGCGCAAGAGGAGAAAAATGTCAAATCCGCAGGGCCCAACGAGCTTTCATCCACACCTCTCCCCAACTACCTCCTCGACAGATCCCAAGAGACAAATGCGAAGTCTCTGTCAAGCGCGATTAAGAATAAGCGTGCGGAGAAGGCCGCCCAATTCTCTGTACCTTTGCCCAAAGTTAAGGGTATAAGCGAAGAGGAGATGTTCAAAGTCGTCAATACAGGCAAGAAAACTCACAAAAAGTCGTGGAAACGTATGGTTACCAAACCTACTTTTGTTGGAAATGACTTCACGCGAAGACCGGTCAAGTATGAGCGCTTTATTCGGCCGATGGGTCTACGATATAAGAAAGCGAATGTTACGCACCCCAAACTCGGCGTTACAGTGCAGCTGCCGATCATCAGTGTTAAGAAAAATCCTCAGAGCCCCATGTATACGCAACTGGGAGTTTTGACGAAGGGAACCATTATCGAAGTCAATGTTAGTGAACTGGGCCAAGTCACGGCCAGTGGGAAGGTTGTTTGGGGAAAGCTGGCACAGATTACCAACAACAGCGAAAATGATGGATGTGTTAATGCGTAAGTGTTTCTTTTCTTTTCTTTCCGTTTTATCCTGTCAACTTGGGCGCATTGCGGCCCATTCCTTTCTCCACTTCGCCTATTGACGACATTGAAAAATATAATTTCCAATAGCGTACTTCTGGTCTAAACGCTCTATTTCTTTCTGCGCTTTAACTTGCAACGGCCTACTCCTTTTTATTTCTGGTATTTACCCTCATGAATGGGTGAAATATAACCATCGGCTACCACCGCACTTTGACCCTCAGAAGCCGCTTTTCCTCTCGGATAGGAACAAGCATCGGGCCACATCGACCAGAAGCGAAAACATGAGATACCTGGCGGAATTCTCTCGATTATTAGAAATGGGGTTCGGCGAAATAGACAAAGGAACTAAAAATATTGCAAGATTTGCGTTATTTCCATCTTCCGTTTTAACTTCTCATAGCATGGGTGGGTGTAGGTTTTGTTGTTAATTGGGCTATTTGCCCCTCTCTTATGTTATATCTTCTAGTTTATTCCATTTGTATTGTCAATGCTGAGTGAAATTTTCGTCTATTTCCAGGTCAACATCATGGCATTACAAAGAAGTTTCTTGGGTAGGCCTGTAGTAGCAGTGGAGATGAATCGTTGTGGAATACTTCAATAGAACCATGTTCCAGGGACTTGGTCTAGGAACATTTCCTGAAGATAAGGCAGCAAGGCGAGAGATAGAGCAAGTTTATTGTTAAGCTGTACGGGATATTCTCAGAAAATACTCTGTCATTATAATATTCTGGTACGTATCAAATCTTCCTCGAGTCTATACAAGGCCCAACCGTACAAACACACTCCTATATAAAATCTATGTTTAAAGCAAGAATGATTCAAAAACAAGAAGTGATTTCAATCTCAAAATAATATTGTCATCACCTACCCGTACATCCACCCACATAAGTCTTCTTCCCCCTATCACCTCTGAATCCCCATGCGCCGTCTTCCTGAACTCTCTCTCGCGCCCTCCATTGAAGCCGCCGGCGACGCCAGCCCCGAAACAACAGACGACAACGATCCAGATCTTGCATCGTTGACATTAAAACCGACATTAGTGCTCCGATTCCTGTTCCTAGGCCGGTTCTGATTCGAATTACTGGTACTCTGACCCGCAGACTCCCCAGAGCTTTGTAACATTGGACTGTTTCCGCTGGTAGTTGCTCCGCTCCTATGGCCCCGATTTGAGGCCGTACCATGTCCTCCGTTATGATATTGGCGGCGATTGCGCCAACTACCTCTCCTAGTCGCACCGGCACCAGTACTGGCAGCCTGATTTGGATTTGGCCACTGACGTTGCGGACAGACATCCTCAGAATACTGGTCGGAGGAAACTGAGTTCTCATCCTCCCCTTCCCTTTCTTCCATCACTCCCTCCTCAACCTGTTCTTCATACATCTCCACACTATCTTCCTGCTCCGAATCACCATCCAACCGCTCATCATCCTCGACAATAGTAACGATATCTCCAGTCACATTGGTAAGGGTGTTGACTCTATCCATTCTCTTCTGCGGCACAGCAGAGCCACCACCCCCTACCCAACCACCTTCATCTACCACCACCTCCTCCAACGCCCTCTTCGGCGGCACATTTCTCAACAAACACATCCCCACATCCAACCCATCAATTGCTCCAACTAAAAACTCGGCGTCCTTACAACTAACACTAAGAGTCCACCGATACTCCCCCAATCGCATCCGATAGAACTCCTCCTCCTCCCACGTCTCTGCGGTAGCCCTAAGCAGAATACCAAAGGAGCTAATTAGCGCGAAATTCGTGCGAGATGCAGAGGGCCAAAAGGACCGCAAGTGCGCGGGCCGCAGGCGATTGACGAAGTCCATAGCTGAGATTAGTCGGGTCTTTGCTGCTGAGCGGCAGATGTGTGAGAGGTAAGGGTCTGCTGAATCCGGACCTAGAGAGCGGATTATGGTTCTGTGCAGGGTTATTTCGGTCGCGAAGTAGGCGAGATGGAGGCCGCCGTTGAAGTTGGCGTTGGCAGGGTCTGGGTTATCTGTGTTTGTACTTATACATGTGGAACTGGTGCTTTCGCTCTGAGGATAATAGCAGAGCTGGTGTTGGTGATGTTCCATTTTCAATTCATTGGGTAGCTGTACGAACCACTCCTTCAGCCGGATTTGGATAGGTTTTGCGCGTTCAAGGATAATGCGGGTGCGTTGTGATCCTGCAGAGGCGAACTCGGAGGTTGCTTGCAGCGTGTAGAAGGTATTGAGGATTTCAGAGAGAATGGCGGTTAGTGTGACGAAGCGACAGAAGAGGAGGGCACCCGATCCCACAGCAGAAGTGTCCTGGTAGTTGATGTGGTCGTTGTTGTTGTTGTTGTTGTCACTGCTGCTGCTGCTTCTTATTGGATAGGCGTCCGCAAAGTCCTCTGGCGTTAATTCCTGTACTGTCCAGTTTGAGGCGAAGATATGTGAAGGACGACCGTGGACGAGCGCACACCATTTATCCTGCACATAGAGGGCCCAGGCCAGACGTTTGCGCAGTCCCTTCTCCCACGCAGAGGTGTTCCAGCTGCTGCAGTCCTGGTGAAGGCCTAGGTCAAACCCGGCGGTCACGAGCTGCGCTATTAGCTCTGGATTGTTCAGAGTTGATCGCTGCGAGAGAAGCAAGCCTGCTTGGAGGGTTGATATGTGTGGCTGTCCGACCGATTCGTTAAATAACCGAGTAGCCATCGTTTCCAGTCGAGTTGCATCTGGTGTTCGTAATGTCTGCACAGCGGCACCCGACAGCTCAAAGCTTGCAATAGTCGCTGGATCCAACCACTTCAATGCGACAAAATACACCGCAGCCAACAGCACAGGGGACATGTTCCGTCTAGTCTGATACAGGTGACGGAATGAATTTTCTATTAACACGGGGAAAGCTGGATGAGCGTGCTGGAAAAACTTGTCGACGAGTATTGGGCCAAAGGGGCTGACAAGGTTGTCGATGGCTTCGACAGAGATAGTGTGGGACTCTTGTCGGGAGCCGTCGAACATGCGCATAAATGTACCGTCATCGGCAAATTTTCGCACGCGCGAAGTTGCCAGAGGGCTTTCGTTGTTGCGGTCGAGGGTGAGGTAGTTGAGAAGGAGAGGTTCAAGCTCTGTAGTCATGCCAATGTACTGGCTTGTCTGAAAGGAGTAGTCATCAGAAGTGAAGTTAGAGGTTGCCGCTGCTGATGATGCTGCGGAGTGGGGGTTGGGATGTTTGTGAAAAAGAGAATCAGGCATAGCAGCCGCTGACATCGGGGAAAGGGGTTGCTCGAGGATAGGCCTGCAGTATATTTTAGACGGGGTTTGTGGTATATATATGTGACATGAGGACTTTTTTGTAATATCACATGGGGAGACGGAAAAGCCAAGTTTTATCGGTCAAATGAAAATTAAAACGCACCGCTTTAAGCCACCCCGGTCCTCATCGCCAGTCCCCGCCACAAACTCGTCCGGAAGTTTTCTCTTGCCCAAATGGCTCTGAACCTGAGCTTGAGATTGATCTTGAGCCTGTTCAGCTTGCTGCACCTGTGCCGAGTACATGAATGTGCAATCCTGGAGATAGAATTCGCACAAGAAGCACTTATTAGCTGACTCGTTCATGGCACATCTGCTATTTCTCCTGTAGCAAGCATCGCAAATGGAATTGGACGATAGAGCAGCTGGGCTCCTGATAGGAGTCGTTGCTGCTGCTGCTGTTGTGGTATTAGCGGTGGCTGAGGTTGCAGGTCTGGTTGCGGTTGATTTAATGATTGTTAGGTAAGGGGAGGTAACTCCAGACGCTGAAGAGCAGCCATTGGGTAAGGAGCTAGCCATGATGAATTGCTGCTGCTCCTAGTAGTTTGGTTGGTAAGGTTTGGCTGGGGTTGAAATGGTATTATTCAACGGGATGGGTGATGGGTGAAACCAACAATAACAGCAGTAACGAAGAAGCTTATTGTAGAGAGGATTTTCAGGAAAAGCTGGAATCGTGTTCCTATTTTCCTTCTTTATATTGGAGGAATTCAAAGTAATAATGGCGGAAGAAGACGCCTAACCGGCGAACCCTTGTTGGGGGAGCGGAATGACAAGATGATTTGATAATATGTACCATCGGTAGTCATTCTTTGCTTCCAGAGCCAAGCAGGAAATGGAATTGAGAAAAAAGAAAGGACTTATTAGGCGACCTATTGTTTTCTTTTTCTTTCCTCATGTCTTTATAATTTTGGTTGGTAAGAAATGCCAGCCGGAACCAGGCCGTTTGTGCTTCCCCGAAGAGAAGAAGATAGGGGTAGTTAACCAATAGCTGGCTTCGAATCGACCGTGACGGGCACAATAGCCCTCATCCGCAGCTCGAAAGCCAGCCCAGGCACCCGAAGGATCGCTCAGGGCGTCAATTGCAGCAGATATCATCTGCTTGGGGTGGGAGGAGTGATGTCGTCAGAGATATGTAGCGTTGGATGGATGATGTATCCGGTTGGCGGCTGGAGGCTGCGATCGGAAAGGATAGGAACGGCCCAGGTACACGGCAGACAGCGCTAATCTGCATACAAACCACGGGTACCTCGCCGCGAATGAATTGAGAGCAAACAAAACCAACGGTGGCGCGCAAAGGATTAAAGGAGAACAAGTATGATGATACAATGCAAGATAAGCAAAGCCCTCTCTCCCTCACTCTCTTTCTCTCGTCTTTTTCCCGCTTCCTTTTGCTATGCCGTCGTTTGGCAGAAGCCAATTTTATTCCAGAGCGCTGGGACGACGCAGCGCAGCAAGCTTAAGCGTTGTAGAGATGATGCATCTTTATTCACCAAAATTAATATAACTACCCCGCTCCACCAATCGCCAGAACAAAGAGGTCGATAATGATTGACAGAACCTGAAACGCCTGGGGTGATTGTGGGTGAGAAACCTGGGGAGGAAGATAAACAGAGAGAGGCTGAAGAGGAAGACCGATAGAGAACTTGGGGGATGTTTAATCAAGATGCATTCATTCATTTTACGTGAAACCATCAGACCATCTTATTTCCCTTCCGCCTTTTTTCTTGTAATTATGCTTGTTTCCAACCCCCCTTGGTCCCCCCAGGTCTGAAGTTGGCCAGATACTGAATAACATTGAATAATATCAACAAATAATTAAATATCAGCAGGGCAGTGCAGTTTCCAAGACGTAAGAGATATATTATATTCAATCAATCCCCGCCCGCCCCATCTCCACCGAGTGCGAGTATTTCTCCATCCCAGCGCCAATCAGTTAAGTACCAGCCTGCTCTCACCCAGGAACAGGGACTACCTGAAGGCCGAAGAAATTTGTAATCGGCGCAATTGCCAATTGCCTTCAAAAGATATACCTTTTATCAACATTCCATTCCCAGTAAAGTTGGATATCCCGGCCGGTCCCTCACAACCAAGTCAGAACTCAGCGCCGCGACATGCAGAACGTCCAAAGATAAGCATCTCCCAGGCGATTGGCCACCCAGCGCTCCCCATCCTCCCTTGGTTCCAGTGGGCCAACGCCCCAGAGCTGGCTGTATGCCAGTCCTGCGAGCTGCAGGCCCGCTAGTCTGCTTTTGCGCCGCCAGTTCGGGCTATTACGTACAGCTTTCGTGAGGGAACGCGGTGCTGGAGGAGGAGGAGGAGGAGGAGGTCCAATGTTTGGATTCCCAATCACCGTTCGTCGCGCAGTCATGCCACCAATTCACGGTTAAAAAAATGCAAGAATCACTCTGCAGGATACAGAGGGAGAGAATCGAACTCACAGTATTCGATATTAAGAAGCGAGAAACATTTCAAGTTTGCATAGACTGCGTGTCTTTTTGACATATTATAGACCTAGAAACTAATCTTCCAGAGTGCATACATAGAGAATCTGCTAGTTAGTTCAATCAATTCTAGCTTGGTTAAATCTAGTTTGTTGAATTGGTTGCTCGCTCACATGGGAATTTTCGTTGATCAACAAGAAAAGGGGTTGAAGGAAGAGGTTGTAGCTTCTGAATATTCTCGGCTGGGAGGAGAAAAAGGATTAAATAACTGTAACTACAGTCGAATGTGATTTTGAAGCTGAACATCGTTTTGGATATAGTGATTTTACCGTATCTCTCAGATCCTTACCCCTTAAACAACCCTAATCAACCCCCCCAGTCCGACCGTGTTTATTTCAGTCGAGGTGACCCGAGTGGGCCCAACTTATAAACCAACATTCAACCTGTAGCCGCGGATTATAACATACAAAGATTGGACCGATGATGATGTATGTTTACTATATACCAAAATAATAATAACGATAATAACAACAATATACGGAAATGGAGAAGTTCTGAAATGAAAAGGACGGAAATCCGGGTCCGGACACTACGGTAAGTGGCCGACGAGAAAAAGAGCAAAGAAAAGAATAAGAGCGAAGAATCGTTAGCGAAACTAGGAAAAGGTGAAGTAGATAGGTAATCGCATAGATCTTGTTTCTTTGGTCAGGTCAAAGATACATCATCTTTTTTTTACCTCCCAAAATTCTCTGCGTATTGTGTGTGTATCCTGTATCCACGAAAAATTTCCCCCAAAAATATTAAAAATCCTCCCAAATTTTTAACTTTTCACAGTATACCGCGGTTTGCACGCCGCAACCTTCTTCGCAGGGTGTGTAATATCCTTAAACACCTTCCAATCACTAAGCGTCGGGAAGTGATCCCGCTCAGCGCCGTCGTCCGCCAATGGCACGACATCACGTTTCGCAACCGTAATCTGCAGTTCCTGCGAGCCGCCCACTGACGACCGCGAAAACTCACCAGAATCAATAACCTTGCCGGTCAAATCCTGCACCCGCCACTGAAGATGCTTCTCCAGCAGCGGCAGGATCGTGTCGTCATCCAGATCAGAAATCAGCTCGCTACTCTGCAAGAGCGCGAGCACATGCGACAGCGGAATCTGGCCGTACATGTCGCGCGTCATGTTGGCTGGAGAGTCCTGGGAAGAGGCAAACGAGGCAAAGGTGCCGATCAGGTTGGGCGCATATGACCAGTCGCATGATTCCTTGGGTGGCTCGGAGAGGAAGAAGAAGATGCGATATGCATGTGAGATCGCGAATTTGTTCGCCCTGACGTTGAGGACCCATTGCTTCTTCAAATTGTTCATGCCTAGCTTGACGAAGTCGAGCAGACTCGATTTGCCTATGTCTTCGAGAAAGTCCAAGAGCTTGAAGTTGAGGTTCATCAGATCGTCTAAGGTGTCCTGGGCGAGATTGGGCATGCGCTTGTGCTTGATCACTCCGTCGTGGTGGTGGTGGTGGACAGCGCGGGCGCTGAATGTGGGACTGCGCTTGCTGTTATCGCTGCTGCTCGCTCTGTTATACAGGCGGTTAACCTCCCGGCGCACGTTTGCGGTCAGTTGTTGCTTGCTAACACCCCAATCCTTGATCTCCGAGTAGGTATAGCCAAAGGATCTGGTGTTCCGGGAAGTGATGGCGTTGTAGAATTGATTGCTGGGGTCGCGGAAAGGTGCGAACGCTAATGAAGACGGGTTAGAGTCTTTTGCTTCTGCCATTTTCAACACCTCACGTATATGGTGGTTGACCTACCCGTTTCAGAATCTTCCATTGTTCCAGCCTTTCTGATGAAATCTGTCCCGCTGTTAACTAACGGTTGTACATAGGAATCCGGATGCAGCGCTTGCCACAGAGCAACAATACGGTCAACGTTGCTACAATATATATTAGCGTTGCCACCAGCAGCAGGAGAAGTAAGTCCGGAATGGTGCTTAACTAACGTATGGTGGAGCCAGAAGATAGGGTCATAGGCGGACCAGGGGGTGTATGTCATGTGTCCACCACTGCCCCCGACGGAGACGTGAACGAGACCATGAATGTTCTCCAGGTTGTTGTAACTTCCACCGCGGTTGGGGAGCGAATCGGTGGAAAAGACGGTGTAGTTGGTCTCACCAGCTAACAGTTGGTAAGTATTGATTCGAATGCTGAAGTGTGTTGTCAGTCAAGACTGCCGAAATAATAAATGCTGCTGAAAAATATGACGTACTGAGCACCGATCGAGATCAACGTCCTTTGGATGGACTCAATTTGAGATTCTCCATCATCGTTGGGGGTGCGAACGGTGACAGGGTATTTGCTAAGCTGTGGGCGATGTCAGCCGAAAGTCCACACAACCGCAGAGGGAATACTCACCATGTCGATGGGGAAGTATTCCTCAGCGGACGGCCTGACTGCATAGTTGTAAAGTGGGTTTGGAATGGTGCGCATTCCGCTCGGAGAATTAATATTTAGCTCTGGAATAGTTACAGACCTGGGCATCTGGGGATCGTTGGCCCAGTCCCAGTACGGAATTCTCAGATTCTGAGCCGCCTGTTGATATTTCCCTCGGACATTTTGAGGGTACAAGTTGGCAATCCTTTGGGCGTGACGCGAGATTCTTTCCTATTATTGATAGCAGTTGTGAGGATTTACGTGAACATAGCAGATGTAATATTTAAAAGAAAGATTGACGACAACGAACCTCATACATTGCAAGGTAAGGTCGATGCCACACGGGGAACAAGGTGGATCCGTGGGAGCAGTAACCAGCATTGTTGGTGCCCTCAACGCCGTCCCAGGAGACATAAGGGTATCCGTGAATACCTAAGATCCAAAAATCAGTTATATTTCTATCGCCGCTTCTCCTCTCTCAAGTCCTGGGATCGCGCTCACCAGCAATCTTGTGAAAACTCAGAAGCTCACTGCGGTCCTCCTCCTGGAAAGCTTTGAGGGAAAGAATGTAAAGATCCCATTCAGGCCCCGACCACTCCAGTTTGGTGAGATCCTTGCGCACAGGTCGTTCACCGGTTTGAGGATTGACGCCGCCTCTTGCACCAGAAATTGTGACTGCAGACACACTGCCGACTAGCACATTCAGCAACAAAAGCAGCGCTGGCCACCAAGTCGTCCCCATGATTACCCGAAATAAATATCAAAACAAATGAATGAAAACGGAGATCTTATTCCCTCAACTAAAGAAAAACGAGAGACTATTTCCGGTAGAGACTGGATAGGAGGAGAAAGGGCGAAAGAGGCAGTTCACATCCGTTCAAGACAACATCGAATTGGGATGTTGTACTGTCAGTCCAGAGCTCAATCAATGAACCCTTCTTCTTCTTCTTTTTCTTCTATTTTTTCTTTTCCTGCCTTTCAAACGCGGGGGTGGGGGGGGGGGCTCGGATTTGAACACACCGCAATGACGTCCGATAAAGTCGGCGCAAGTGGAGGTGGACGAAGGAATGTGGTTATCGAAAGTGAGAAGAAGGAGGTTAGAAGAGGAAAGAGGGGAAAGAATGGATGAAGAAGAACCTAAGGGAGACATTATTGATTGGAGCCAGCGAACAAGCAAATACGACCCGTACTGGATTTGCTCAGCTGTTTTAGGGGGTTTTCCTCCCTCCGTCTTGAGTAGAGAGGACAACCGCCCGTTACACCCAGGGCAAAACTCCTGCTAAGGCTGGTTAGTCAGGGACAAGGCTCCACTAGGGCAGCCATCGGTCGCCTTGGTTTGTGACCATCAAGGGTAGCGATGGCACTGATTGGATGCTTTGTGGCGAGGGGACCGTGGGATGGCTGTCGATCATCTGCTGGCAATAAACACTGGTCGAGTACCCTACCCTGTCGTGGAGAGGATGAGAGAAGCTCCCATCGCCCCTGATGCGTCCCAATGTTCCCGTACTGCCCAAATAACACCAGGAACAACTTGCAACATAAATTCCCATCATTCGCCCAGTAGATTGTGGATGCATACATTCAGCCATACGTGAATACCTGCATCTGTCTCCATGCCATAGCGACGGCATTCACAGTAACCACCAGAGCGGACAAACACAAAGTAGCACAATCAGATTCATCTACGCGAAAGGAGAGGAGCTGATAATGCTGCTGATCTAGCACCCAAGCCAGACCTCGTCGGATTCCGCTCTCGCCTCAAGAAACATCAGACAGAACAGCTTCCTGGTTGGGGTTGTTCTTTTGTCCCAGCGAAAGGTTTCGATCGTGAAACCCACACTCCCCCCGGGGACAACCGACCAAAAAACTATTTAACCAAAATTTCCAGGAGCTAAAAGATGACGGATGTTCTCCTGTTTCCAAAATCTAATCCTCCTCGAGAATGTTGAAACAAAGAAGCTCATCCAGCTCGATCCTGCGCTGGCAGTTGGTTTTAGACACTGGCAACTGGGCATCTGTGAGAACTTAGCTGTGAGCGTACGTGGTATTCGACACAAAATACTGTAACTGATCCCACAGATGTAACCAAATTCTTGTGTGTTTTTAATATTTGCTGGGTAACCACTGGTTCTCAGGTTGTGAGCAGGGAGACCTTTTTCTCATCTTCTGTCCAACTTTCAAATTGTCCCAACCGAAGCCTGCAACTGATAAGTATGCACCCGCTGTAACATCGCAACGCACCAAACCAATCTCTGCCGGAAATATTCTTCGTAGATATACCCGCCGATTTGTAAAGAACCAGATCCTTAAAACTCAAAGCGCTTCTGCAAACCCACCTCGAGGCAGCTGCCAAAATTGACGCGGTAATAACCCAAGACCCGAGTATTTTCCTTGCCTTGCCCTCTCCCTTAGTTTAGTCATCCATGAAAGCTGAAAACAAGGGACGAGATCTTCGTTTGTCAAGGTGGCAGTGCTCCGATGCAAATAGGCAATCTTCAAACCCATGCAACTCCTGCTGTTTGGCATAGCTTGTGCCGTTCTCCTTTCTTCCAGAGTCCAGAGCAGGGTTTTTGTTGTTACCCCACTATGACTGTATGTGCTCGATAATGCCTGTTGTTAGATCCTCACTCATCACTATACGGTTGAACTGCCTCCTCAGATTGAGGATGAGGACGATGGACATCATGATGATGATGGTCGGTCGGGGATGGCAGAGGTTATTATTCCATCTGATCCACCCAAACTTAAACTTGTACTTAATGCTGGTGTGACTGACCGAAGCATTGACAACGACATGCGTTTCAACTACATGAAGGTCCCTCGCAACAAAAATAGAAAAGAATGTTAAGGCATTGAAACTCATGAGTGGAGATGTGCTGGATAAACATTCTCACTTTGATACAACTCCTGCTCACAAATGGATACTGTTGACATGTTCTCAATCCTAACTTTTGTCCCAGAGTCAGCATACTTCTCTGGAGGATGCAGTTACGGCAATTTATGCGCAATCCCAAGCCATGCATGGATCTTGTGTGGTTTCTGTTCATTCAAAAATAAAATATCAGGTCCGCAGAGAAAAAGTGAGGGATATTCTTAGGACTACAGAGTACAGCGGAGGTGCATTTGAATGACGGCCACAATGCAATCAGATTTCCTATATCGTATGAAAAACGGAGAAGATCTAATCGTGCCCCGCGCACCCACACCTGATGTGGGTGCGCCACAGCGTAATGATAAAAACAGTGTAACGATAAAAATATGGATAATTAGAACTTCAAAAATTAATATCTCATCACAATGCTGCTAATCTATGATAATTAATTTATCTATATCATCTGTAGTAGCTATATTATTTGCAAGACATTTATATATATCATTAACCTTTTGTTGAGTTGAATCTGTGGCATTTTTCTTCAAAGCTCTCTCAACATGTTTAACTCTTTTACAACATTCTTTTTCTGCTTCCTTCTCTTTACATTGTGTGATCTTTCTATTCACATCTCTGACAGTGAGTATACCTTCTACTTGAACCTGCTGATGTGTATTTTTAGTGCTGCAGTGTTTGGTTGCAAGGTAGTAACTCTTAATCTTACTCTCTCTTTTAGTATTGAGTTCTGTCTGAACAAGACTGCCTTGGAAAAACTTGTTCAATTGATTGCTCAGATGAGGTGATTTGAAATTAAGTATATCTTTTATATCTTGCATTGCTTCTTTGTCATTTGAATATGGTATTATAGCTTCTCAATTGTCTTGAGTGAGAATAACTGTAATGAAGTAGTATCTGAACAGCTTGTTTGTAGTGAAAAGAAATCTTCTTCATATATTTGCAACTCAGAGTAGTCAGAGACCTTTGAATCTAGCTTAATCAATATAAATTGTGAGTTGAATAGAACAATGCCACAATTTACAAAGTCAGTCTGAATAGTAGAATATTGAAAAGTCTTTTTGCAGACATTAACTAGATTCTATAGAAATTGACATTTTTCATACTGCTCATATTCATATCACATAACTTGATTAATTGTCTTTGAATGATAGTGTTTATACTGCTGAAAAGACACACTATCTAGAGATTGCAGTATATGAGTTAAATGTAAAGAAAATTCATATAGAATAATCTTGTGAAGATTGCAGTATTGTAGAAATTCTTCAGTAAGATGAGATTCATAATTGTCAAGAAGTAGCAATTGATGACTGTCTGCTGATGTTTTTTAGAGATCTTATTAAAGTGCTAAATCCATGTAAAGTTAATCTCATCATTGATATAATTAGTATCTGATGTCATGATTGTATATTTACTCAATAGGTTGCTTTGTGTATATCAATCTTCAAGTTGAGTTTTGAATTTCATGATGATGAAGAAATTCAATACCTCATCATCTGCTGAAACACACTCAATCACAGTGATCAATTCTTGAGAATATGATGAAGTTATAACTGAATTAAAGTCTTTAAAAGCAGTAATAATCTATTCTCCATGTCCTTGACCCTCTTGAAAGTCAATTTCATCAAAGTTGTAGATATTGCAAGTTTGAAATATGTACTTTTGAAGTAAGATTTTCAAATAGTCAAATCACATCTTGATGTAGCTAATATTCTCAACAGCAATTCTTTTCAGATTTATTGCCTTCTGCTTAACTCTTTTATATTCATTCAAGCTTTGTATATATCAATAGGTCCACATCTTGCTGACCATAGATGGGGAGGTTGAAGAATTAGTATAATGGTGTTTGAGAATGAGATTCACATTATCTTGAATCTGCTCTATGGTCAGTGAGTAATTATTTCTGTCCATATGAGCTATTTACTCTTTTAATGTGTCCTCCTGGCTCTTGCTAAGCTTCTTGTTTGATGCAGTCTTTGCATTGCATGTTTTTCTTTTATTGATTCTTGCTCAAAGACATTGATAAGAAACATTGAATTTGTGTGCCAGAGGTAGGATTTTCTGTTTTCAATTGCCATTATAGACTTCAATGGCACTCTGAATACATTTTTCAAGATCATCTATCTTATTGGTCATGGTGGTGGTGATATATTAATATTTAAAGATTGATTAATGAAGAAGTTGATATTTTTATCATTACACTGTTTTTATAGTTACACTGTGGCGCACCCACATCAGGTGTGGGTGCGCGGAGGCACGATTAGTTGTTCCATACGGAGTAGCCAGATCTAGATGTTGATCCAAATTCGCATCTCACTATTGTTATCTGATCATCTTGACGCGCCGCATCGAGCGTGGCGATAGCACCGCCATCCAGATCTGGGCAAGAGAAGGATATGAATAGCAGAACACCCGTTCAAAAGAAAGAGAGGTATTGGAGGAGGCATTTCCCATTGTTAGGAGAAAAAAAAAATAGTACGGAGAAGATGGGCTTCCTTCTTTTTGGGCGCAATTAATTGATAGGTCTCCCGTAGAAATATACTTTCAAAGCCAATATCATTGCTGATCGCCCATAATAGGTCTTGAACCTTCTTCGTGATAAGAGAGAACTTGCGCCGGAAACATTACCCCTTGATATATGTCAGCGACCCCGGAAGACGGGAGATCAAATGTATACATACCAGCCCCTACCCATTCGTGTCAATACTCCATCAATCTCGTCCCCCAGTTAGCTACTCAATCCATCACTACAGAGATTGACTCAACGCTCCGGTGTTCGCCTCCTGATTTCCTCTCTACCCCTTCCATATTTTGTGGATGAAACCAAACCCGTAGATGCAGAATGGGAACCCAGTTATGCGCCGAGGTGTGAAGAAAAGAGGGTCGGCCTGCTGGTGATATGACATGGAGACTTCTCCGGGTTCAGACGGAAAGAAACGAGAAGAAAACAAGACATCAAAAAGGGAATAAAGTAAGATGCAAAGGTAAATAAATAAATATATATAATATGATCCTGATATCAGCGTATAGTTGGCAAAAAGGTTGCCCAACGAAAAATAAGAAAATCATATCAAAAACTGATAGCTAGCGCGTTAGAAGGGATTGAGTATATAGCACGTAACAAAACTTCCGGAGCCTACCCCGAACACACATCGCGTTCAATTAAAAATCCAAACCACTCATCATAACCACGTCCGCACCAGCCAAAAATACCACAAACCTCCCACCACCAAAACTTGTGTGAACGGCTTCATAAACTCCGCCCACAATACATATTTGAATCCGCGGTGACCAGCACTACCAGCACTACCCCAACTCTTCACACCCCAGCTACGGTCTCTAATCTTCTCATCAATTTCCAAATCAGACCGCCGCAGACTCTCGCTGACCTTATCGCCGCCATGGGTTCCAGTTACGTCGATAATCTGTGCGTGCTTTGTCGGACGTAAGAGACCGTCATGAGATGGTGGTGAGGAGGAAGCTGTGCGCGATAGCATACTGCCGCCACCACCACCACTGTTAGTAGTGGCGCGGTGTGAGAAGCATTTTTCGCCTTCGGTGGTTGAGGAGGTGCTGGAGGTGCTGAAGGTTGTGGAGGTGGAGGGATTGTAGAGGTGTTGGTGGTGATGGTAGTGGGGTTGGTGGCTGATGGGAAGGAGGTATTCGAAGTCGTGCGATGTTATTGATGGGTCTTTAAGGGGTTGGAACGTGCGGGAGATAGCGCGGACGAAGAGGGCGACGATGGTTAGGAGGAGGACATAAGCGTATTGTATGAAGATGGAGATTTGGTCGGGGAGGAGGCAGAGGTGGTTTTGGATTGTGGAGGAGGATGATAATCCTAAGTCTGGGTTTATGGATTTTCCCGTCTGTAGGTCGACGGGGTTATAGAGGCTGGCCATTTGGAAGCCTGGGCGACGCACGCCCATTGCCAACGACATGCTTTTCACAGTGATCTCCTTGGGCGAGCCGCTGAATTCATGATGGCTGATTTCGCAGTAGTCGTGGTCGTCGCCAGAGTATACCTGCTTCACACCCGTGCCGGCGCTGGTAACTACTCTCTTGCTAATTGTCTCAGTCAGGACGTTCTGATATTGATATCCCCTCGAGACTCTTATCGCGTTCCTTTCATCCTTTTCCGGCAATGGATCGGTGGATGAAGGTGGGAATCGTTCGCGAAGTGGCCCGCAGGGAGTGCCTGGCTCCCGATACAAGGGTACATGTGTAAGAATGATGGTAGGTAGCTCCGCATCAGATGGTGCGGAGGACACAACAGGCTGAGTGGGATTACGGGCATTGACGATCGTGGAGGGCGCTGAATAGTTTTCTGCCTTTCCTTGGAGAGCAAGCAATTCTTCCTTTACCGCTCGCGCCTTTAAATTGGGAAGATCCTCCAAAAAATTCTCCACCTCTCTCCAGATTTCGTCACCGGAGGACGCATCCCCTGAATCCCCAGTTTCAGGATTCGGCTCATCCATCGCGCTCAGTGAAACGGTGTCAACCGAGACAAACGTGTGGTTGCCCAAGACATCGACGCGATTCCCATCGCCAAAATACGTCCGGAATCTCTTGAGCACGGGTTTTTGGATCCCATGCCCAAACCCTAAATCATGATTCCCCGGCAAACTCGCGATGATCTTGCGACCCCTTCCACTTGCCTTGGAATCAACCGCCCACAGCCTCCACGTATCGAAAAACATCTCGACGAACCGTCGATACTCCATCATCCAGACGTCATTCCCGTACATTTTAAACCTTGCGTCTGGACTCGAGCTGCTTCCCGTAGCCCACTCCCTTCCCCCATCAAACAAATCGCCTAGAAAAAAAGTAGTATCCGGTCTTAGGTCCCGCTGAAGAAGCGAGTAAGTTCGATACAAATAGAGATCGGAGTAAAACATCGTAAGTGACGAGAGCAGCCACGGCCTGCCCGGATAAGTATGTGGATCTACCAATTGGGGATCTGCTACGAAGGCAACATGATGGGGCAAGGCTCCTTGCGGCTATTCGCAGCATCATTGAGGAGTTGTTAGCCGCAATAAATACTTCCACGCATACCAAAAAAAATAAAACAGATGGATAATAATAACAATAATAATAAATAAGGGGGGAGACTTGCCCATTTCTCCCACCGAGCCCAATCGCAGTCCCGCACACTATCCTGAAATACCTTCCGTTCCCCCCACCAGAGAGTCACCACCCACACCAAGATCAAGACAATTTTCAGCGAACACACCAGCTTCAACAGCCTCAGCGCATGTCCGCACCTCCTCCTCCGCCTCGTCCCTCTGGTGGATGATGTAACGACCTGCGCAGTTCCGACACGTACCCTCAAGACTCCGGATTGCAAAAAATGCGGAAGAAAGTTGTATATACGCTGTGTGAGAGAGGGGGGTTCGATGAAGTGATTGCGGTGGGAATGGGAGGTCATTGTTCGTGTTCTTTTTCTGTTCTTTTGCGTGCGTTAATCCTGGGGTTGTTGGATTTGGGTAATTATATCGAAAAACCGAAAACGGATTGATTAGATGTCAGAATGTGGCTGTAACTACGTGCCCCACCTTGTTTCGTGTCGTGCCCTGCGCAAGTATGAAAGTATATATGAGTGAAGAAGTGAATGTATACGGAGTAGATATAATTCATTTCAGCCCGTACGTAGAGGATATGCAATATAATATATCATCACCGGGACCAGATGATAGGGAGGCGAACAGCCGAAGGAGCATGGTTGTTGTCGTCTGATGCCGTTTTGCTGTTGATGCTAATGCGCCAGCAGCTTCGTTAACTAGTTATTTTCTCACTTCTCCTCTCATACACTCTTATTTTCCCATTATCCAACTCTTGTCCGTTTAGCAGCAATACCGTGTGCACACCGTGTTGCTGTCTCGATGAGTTCTGGGTGTGTGTCCTGGTTAGGGTCATGTAGATTGAATATAACGTCTAATTATATCATAATCTACGTAAATAATCGACTCCACTATAAACACGGATAGTTACGGGTGGAGCTTGGTCTTCATCCACCGAGCAAAATAAATAGTATGGCGCTGACAACGTAAAGATCAAAAATGGACAATGATGATTATTCCTTTCACCTGTAAGATAAAAAGTGTGGAAGGAAAGAAATTCAAAAAGCCAAAAAGCTAAAAAGCCAATATATATATAAAGTTCAAAAGGTCCTGCAAACCAACAGAGTGCCCGAAACAGCGGCTGGAGACCCACCGATTATTTATTTACAACGCAACAGCGTGAGAAGCAGCTTTGGGAAGCCTGGGGTAAATCTTGCAGTGGAAGGGTGTTTGATCAAGCTCCACCAGTGGCGCTTTTTGCGCACGATTGTGTTGTTCCGCGCATGGGACGACACGGGAAGAAAATATTGTATTTACCTGGTGGCAGACGGCCGATGAGGGAAAATGGGTAGTTATATTTAGTAACTACGCACCATGTCAACGGGTTGAGACGATCGTGGCCGTGGCCGTGGCTATGGGCTTGCAGTCGTCGTGTTTTGCACGCCCGTCTGCTCTTTTCCTTGCTCCCTCTCGAGTCGTATATTCATTTAAATACCATGCGCTTCGCTTGCGGGCGAGCAAAGCATTCTCGCTGATACCCTTTCAGGTTGGACGCATATCTCTGTATTCCTGCATCCTCCTGATCTTCCTCTCTCTTTCTTTATAGTCAATATGGAGTGGCCACAGCTGACACTTCAAAACAATCAACCGCATCTGCTCCAGAGCCTGGTTGAAGTCTCCCCTTCGCCAGATTTTATGGCACATGCCGGAGTGTTGGATACATGTCAGAGAAGATGTCGACGGAGACGATGTCTTTTCCACAAAGTTGTTGAATGGATCGATGGGAATGAGGCACAAGGTTACATCCTAATCGACATTCACGGTCAATATTTCATCTTGAACACCGATACAAGTGGTACCTGGCCAACTTCGGAAGAGCAGATAGTATGAGCTGTAATGTTAGTCTGGATGCTCCATTCACAACTGACAGTGAGCAGCAAAAGCACTATCCTCATACAGTTCGCAAGACATGTAAAAGATTATCAAGCATCATCTAAAAAGAAGCGCGGACGGAGAGAGACTCTCTTCAGAGAGAGTGTGGAGTATAGTGGTAAATGCAGCGCTGATGTCTAAATATGTCATCATCTACGTGAACAATCGATGCCTCACTCTCTTCACAGATGGAAATCCGCCACCATCAGTGGAGCACACTGTACGACTTTTGAATCCACTTTGGGGCTTTTGACTGACCTACAACGGGCGTATCACTAACCCCCTCCTGATTTTACAAGACACCTGATGATTATCGACAGCAGGTTAGATGACGGCCTGCACTGCAGCGTTTTGTTTCACCGTCCTGAAAGAAAGATGCCCATTCTCGAAGGCCTTATGACACTTGCCCATATTAAATATACCTAGTTTTAGAATAAATTTACTTGCACTTTCACTCCTTACGGAATAGTCTTATTTAGAAGAAGGGACTGTCAGAACGGAGTCAAGCAAGAAAGTAAATATATATAAAAAGGTCACAAATGAGGGGAATTTAGAGGTTCAAATGATCTAGAAAACATACTTATGCACTAGTTAGCCTAATCAAAACACAAAGTGCTAGAGTTACTTGGAGCATTGTAAAACACCGGGCAAAAGCAGCTTGCAGTTGCCGTATGTATAGAATTTGATCACGGTATCTGGCACAACGCCTGTCAAGCTAGGACCTAGGCCCTTGAACAGGGCGACGCCAGCCTTTTGAGGCGATGGATAGAGCTGAGGATTTCGAACGTCTCGCGGAAATGTAGGACGGCAGAGCGGGATAAGGGCAGAAGGGATAGCAAATGAGTACTTAAGGCGGGCAGCAGGAGCGTCTTCGAAGGTGAACTGTAAAGATCGGATTGCAGCCGAGTTCTTAGGATATCAAGTGGAGATGCACAAGAGCTGTAGCTCTGTCAAATAGGGGGAAAGTTTCATCGTCAGGTAAGATCAAATCAACTGGTTAAGTTCAGGGGACTCCGGTGTCAACAATCAAATGAGTCCATGAAGCCAGAGCATCCAAGAAGGCTTGCCCCAATGGGCCATCAGATCCAGCCGAGTGAGAAGGCGGAGTGGGCGAATTGCTTCGATCTAGAATGTTCATGTTGATGTCTGAGTATCAATGATAAATTCGAGGCTACCTCCCCAGAATTGTTCAAAACAAGGAGAATCGACATGCTTAAATTTTTTCTTCCGAAATGCTTGGCTGTGATATAATCCATCTGGTGAATAGTTAACTAGTTAACTTGTAACTCTGGCGAGAAATCACATACGACACATCCACAACTAGAATGCAGCCACCATCCGGAAACCATGGCAGAACTTTTTAAAAGGTTCGTTTATGAAAATTCAAGGGCCACGATGTTCTGTCCAAAAATAGTGGATCCTTTGTACATTTCTGCATTTCTCCACGTTATAACTTCTATGAAACAAGTTATATTCACAGTCTGCATGGCTGTGGAAGGCAGCTGGGTCGAACGAAGAAGCCACTTACTGCCCTTGGGGAGATCACTCCCCCCACCCCAACATCTATTCTCCTCATCTCCCATACTTTGCATATTCTTAATGTCACCGCTGCCGCTTTACTTGTTCTTTATCTTCACCCTTGGTGTGGAGAAGAGTGAGTGACCTTAGCCAGAAGAATGTTTGGCCGGCCAGCCAAGATGCTCCGGATGATGTGGAATTTGATATGTCGCCAGACAATGGCCCCGGTCTCCTCGGGGCCCGCATCATTCTTATCGTCCGTCACATCATCTATGAAGAGGTCAAGTTCACTGATATCATTGTCGGTGGTCATACTGATGGTGGAGCTGCCTTCCAACCACCCTATACTCAACTCAGTATCGGAATCATTTTCTCGCACGAGCCCACCGAAGATGGTTTCACCAGAACTGCTGTGACAGCTGTCACTCTCTTCAACAACATACCCTGAGTTGAAGTCCGTATCATCATTTCCTGTATGGCTATCCAGGTCGCTATCCTCAGCATTGTACGAGGTGTCTTCACCGCTCATCCCGTATTTGCTGCAGGACACTCCGTCTCAGGCGGAGTGACAGCTTCTTCTAGAAGCCATGGACCGTGCCATATGTGTCGTGATACTCCTTCTCATCGTCAGAATGAGCCGCCTTGCGTTTTCCTGGCGCCTTGGGTCCGTTACCGTGTTGGCCGATCCAGGATCTCGCCTTCGAGAAGGGGTCCGGCGGCCTTGTCCCTCGGTAACAGTGATGGCGATGGTTGATCTTGCTCTTCGAGGCCTTGCTGTCAGCGCAGGATGATCTTGCTGATGGTCTGTCTCCCACTTTCTCACCACTTGTTTTTTGATGCGGGTGTCAAACAGTGAGACTAGTCCTGCACCGGAGATGAAGGACAGGAGCATACTTGCAGCAACATAGTGTCGCTGTTTGCCATCAGCATAGGCCTTTGTACTCTGCGTCCAATGAGCGTGGAGGATGATGCCGGACAGCTTCCTCTTCAGTCATCACTGGAGACCACACCCTTATAATGTTTAAGGCGCCCGTGAGGTGAGGCCACCTCTTTGCCTTGATGATCTTACATTGAGACAGTCTTATGTCATCCCGTCATCCATGCCATAATTGGTGCGCTTCACGTTCAAGGTCTTCAGAAGCCGCCAGTACTGTTGAAGGCTGAAGCTGCCTTGATGATGTTCTGAATGAGTGTTCTGAAGCCAGTCAAAGTATTGTCTTGACTCAGCCCACTGTCAGATTCTTGATGAGCTTCTCTTTCATAGTCATGAGTTCAGTAGAGCATAAGCTGGCCTCTCTGTCAGAAGATCAAAATTCATTTCATCAAGCAGATCACCACTTATCGCTGAGACTTCCACCAGACTGTCTCTCTGCTTTTCTCAGCATTTGTGAAGTAAACTCTGTGTTGCGATCAGCGGCTTCATGTCATTTCAATATGACTCTGTAGTTCAACTTTCTGAAGGAGTGACCTGCTGTGCACGATCTGGAAGCTTTGAGCACTTTTGAAACTGTCAATACTGTTCAATGGGCGCGTGAGACTGTCGCTGATATGTAAGTTGATAGGACAGAGATTCTAAAGGGGGGAATCAAAGTAGGCCTTGGGATGTGCAAACGGAACGGAGAGGAGACAAGGAAACAGAGATATAATTTGAGAAAATGTCAACAGCAACCGGAGGAGGGTAGAGATGATGGTATTTACAGAATGGTGAAGCCATGGGCTATCCCAGGTGGCCAACATATTCTGGAGGGTTGAGCGCCAGAAACGGTGCGCTCAACTGGGCGAATGACTGAACGAGTGGCTGGGTAAGAGGTCAAAGATCTAGGATGAGAGGTTCAGAAGCTGTCGCGCAAGCAGAAGATGAGGGCATGAACATGATCAAGAGTGTAGAAGGACCCCAAAAGCTGTGATCGAGAACTTCCAGATGAATCCGTGGTGCCGGGGCAGCCGAAGCAAAGAATCATCATTATTGTTTTACATATGAAAAGAAACAAAAGATGCTTATTAAAGTTAGTAGTTTAATAAGTTTTATTAATAAAAGTAATTATATATATATTTTTATAATAGAATATAAATGTATAACTTCTTATCTTCAAAGAGTTTAGATTGATGAGATTATAAGTTAGAGATAGTTGTATTAGACTTTTACTAATATAAAATACTTAAAAGTAAAAACTAAAATGAAAAAATGAAAAAGTATATAAAAATAATAAAGTAAGTATAACAATTTATTTTAATAGTCATTAAATTATTAATTATATAATTATAATATGATTAATATTATCTATTTAAAATATATATAGTTAATAACTATAATATTTATATATAAGTTGAATTAAATATTTATATTATTATTTTAAATAATATATTATTTATATAAATTTAATAGAAAAAATATAGTTATATAATATATATATATATATATTATAAATATTAAATTTAAAATATTATTTTACTTTTTAAATATTTAATTTATTTAATATTATTTTTATTATTTTTTTCTTTATTTTATTATTCTAGATAATAGAGATATTAAATATTTTTATTTTTATTTTAATTAAAATTATAATTATATAATTTAAGTAATATTTAATAATTAATTTAATAAAAATTTATAAAAATAAAAAATAAAATAAAATAATTATATTAAAATATATAATAAAAAATTAATAAAAATTATAAATTAAAATAATTTTTTTTAAAAAAATAAAAATAAATTAATATTTAAATTAATATTTATTAATTATATACTTTAATAAAAATTTTATTTAAGTTTAAAATTTATTTTATAGATATAATCTTTAGTTTTTTTTATAAAGTTAATTAAAAACTTTTTCTTAATTTAATATTAAAAAAATATATTTAAATAACTAATGAAATATTTTTCTTTTTAGTTGATGCGTACAAGCAATTGAATAGGTAGGATAAATCATGTCTGATTCTCTTCTAATAAGATGGGCGGATGCCCTGCTATATATACACACTATAATCGCTCTATATGGTAGGAGCGATTGCATAGGATAGGAAATATAGGAAAGATTGGGGCCTCTGAGTGGATTAGGGAGGGGCGAATAGAGAGCGGATACTAATATAGGAAGGGGCGGAAGAATAGGGGCGGAACGCCACATTAGTTTTCTCTAAATATTATTATTTAAAAAGTAATTTAGTAAAATATAATCTAAAGTTTTAATTAAATTATAAAAATAATATTTATTTAAATTTATAAAATTTTTAATTTTCTAATATAAAATTTAAAGTAATTAATTATATTTAAATTTTAAATTTTTATTATAGAAAAGTTTTTTTTATATTTTATTAATAAATATTTTTATTTTAACTTTATTTTATATTTTATATTAAATTTTATTTATTAAGATATAATTTTTATTATTTAATTTACTTTTTAATTTTTTAAAATATTTATATAAATAAATTTAATTATTTTATCTTTTAACTTAATTTTTTTTATTGAATTAATTTGATATTTATTAAAATATTTTAAATATTAAGTTTTTAAATAATAATTTTATTAATTAATATAAAAGTTTTTTAAATTTTAAAAGTATAATTTATATTTAATTTTAATTCAATATTAAAAAAAATTATATTTAATTATATTTTAAAAAATAAGAATTTTCTTATATTTTATTAAAAAAATATTTATTTTTATTTTATTTTATATTTTATATATTAAATAAAACTTTTTACTTTATTTTATATTTTATATATTAAATAAAACTTTTTACTTCTTAAATAATTATTTTAAAATTTATATATTTATCTTAAAATTTATATTTTTATATAAATATTTTAATATTATTAAATTATTTATAAATATTAATATTTTTAGTAATAATTTTTTAAAAATAATATTATAGACTAATATAAATAATTTAATATTAAAAATTTTATATATATATTTTTAAGATTTTGCAAATATAATTTATATATTAAGTATATTTTAAAATATATTAAAATTAAATTTATTTTAAATATTATTTTATTTTCTAATTTATCTAAATATATTATTAAAAAAATTTATTAATTAATCTATTATAATTTATATATATATGTATATATTAAAGAATTTATTAATAAAAATATTTATTAATAAATTTAATTTTTTAAATTATTATATATATTTTATAAAATTAAAGATTAAATTTTTTTAAGTTTTTAAAATATTTATTTTTTAAAAATAAAGTTATTAAACTAATATATATTATTTAAAGCTTTAAAAATATTATTTAAAATATTTAAATCTATTATAATTTTAAAATTTATAAAAGTTAATATTTTTATAATCTTTATATAAATATATATAATTTAAATTTAATATTAAAAGTAATTTATATATATATATTAAGTTTTATATTTATTAATTATTTAATAATATTTAATAATTTTATAGATATAGTAATTAACTAAAATTAAAAATCATATCTAAAGTAAAAATTCAACAATTTATGACATAACTTAATAAAAGAACTTGATCAAATTATAATGATTTATATTTTCTTATATAAAAGTCATATTGAGATATAATTGCTGCAAATGAGAAAGAGAGGCAAAACACAAAGAGATTTAGGCACCAGATTCAATATGAAGAAGGTTTTAACTAGCTTGTATTATTCCACCCGCTAAAGGCAGGTGAACTGCCTATCATTCAAAATACCAAGACTCTCTCTCTCCCTTTAGACTCAGCATCATACTCATGAGCTTCGCCACGGTGTAGTAACTGGGGCTCTTAGAAGAACTATATGTTCTAATCTTGGTGTAGTTTAATTTAAAACAAATTAGTTGTTGTTGAGTGTTGGAAACCTAGAATATAATTTATTCAATTGAACATGTTAAGATTTGATGACCCGCTCAGTGGTGAATTAATAACTACTTAGGACTCTGGATTAGTTAGGTCATCACTGCACAATGATCGTAGTTATTATAAAGGTGGGTAGGGGACAGGGAGAAGACGGAGATGTTTTCGGTGGTGTGCACGGGTAGTAGACAGGTTATAATTATTGAGTCTATCTGTATTTTGAGCTATTAGATTGTCTAATGATGAGTGCAATGAATCGAGAGCAGAGCTGAATAGAAGAAAAAGATATAAATTTTGTCTATCAAATCAATTAAATAATCAGAAAATGTCACCAAAAAAACAGAATTAAGTTAGAAATATCCATCCTCGCACTGGCGTTCCCAAAGAAAAGAGCACATTTTCACATGCCCACAGATCGCTGATCAAAACACCAATCCGGCATATGCATATCGGAAACGAAACCTAACCAAACGAGTCCCCCCCAGGGTTTTTTTTTTTTTTTTTTTTTTTTTTTTTCTTTTGGATTCGCCATCAGTTGGCAACGAGAAATCCCAGAAACTAAGCCGCTTTCAACCAAAATCTACTTGCCACCAGGACAACACTGTCGACCAGCCGCGCACTCAACCCCACACTCAAGCAGGCAGTTGGCACCAGCAACACACGTACCAGGACCGCGTTGTCGAGCAGTGCCACACTGCCCACCCTGAGCAGCCAGAGAATGAGACGATCCCACACGAGACGTTTCATCAGCGTCGCTACCAGGATAAAACTCCGGCTGAATCGTTGACGAATGGATCCCATACGCATGCAGACACCTGCGCACCTGCCGCGCTAGCTCCATATACCTGTCCGACCCTTCGCCCTTGATATCATGGCTAACCTGTATATGCAACGAGCAGACGAGTTTTGTGTCGCTAAGCTGCCAGACGTGCAGGTGGTGGCAGCTCAGGACGCCGGGGAGATCCTGGATGTCTTCTATGATGTGGTCGATGCTTAAGTCAGCAGGGACGGCTTGGAGGAGGATGCGCGATGCGGCTTTGCAGAGTGGGATGGCGGAGGCGAGGATTATGACGGTGATGACCAGGGAGATTGCCGGGTCCGCATAGAAGCGCCAGGAGTAGTTTGTCAGCCAGATTATGAGAGCTGAGGCGATGACACCGATGTTGCCCAATGCGTCACCTACGACATGGAGGAAAATGCCACGCATGTTAAGGTCGGAGTGGGAATGGCCCTTTTTGCCCTCGGTGGACTTTGGTTTGGCGTGGTTGTGCGCGTCATGCAGGTCCTTATGCGGGTCTTTGGACGGTTGGCTTGCTGCTCCTTGTGTGACGTTTGTTGTAGAATACGTAGCCCCATTGCGTCCATCAAGTAATCCCGTTCGTTCTGAAGTAGAACGGTTTGATTCCGTATCTGATTCGGAAAATGTCTCGTCGTCAAAGCGACTGGCTTCGATGATATCCCGACGTAGAATGGCAGGGTGGATTTGGATATCTTCTGCATCGCGGAATGCCCTTGGTCCCGATGAACTGAACCGACGAGAGTTGGAGCGCTTCCTGGCAGGATTGGATACACCATTCTCTACACTGCCCTTTTGCTTCGTAGCCCCACGCTCCACCTCGAATCGGTTGGCGGCTACATTTCCTGACACTGCACTAACGACGGTTCCGGATTCATCACTCATCGCTTCTCTACTGACTTCCTGTGCATAGCCCTGCTCTGCCGTATCCACCGCCTCCTCCGTGTTATGCCCATGAGAATGTCCGTCATGACCATGCGAGTGCTCGTGGAAAAGCACCAACCCAAAAAAGTTGGATAAAAGGCCGAAGCAGCCAACAACACAGATTAGTTTGGGGTTTCTAACCTCTTGCGGTTCGACCAATCGTTGGATAGCTTCGAGGAAGATTGAGAGACACAACGCGACGAGGAATACGCCGTTTACCAGTGCGCCAAGTGTTTCTGCTCGTTGCCACTGTGGATTCATAGAAAGAACGAGTTAGCAACTTGGCATTGAAGAGCACTCAATCCAATGCGCAGATGTCTTTCAAAGTGATCCGATGTTGCTTACCCCATAGGTATATATCTTCGAGCTTGTCTTCCGGTTTGCAACCTTGACAGCCCCAAGTCCAACGCATAGTGATAGAACATCATTAAGCTAAGCACGCGGGGGAAAAACCAGCAATTAGTTTGAAAGTTCTGTAGGTTTTAGGAGGCGTTCATCGAGGAGGCTTACGAACCATATGAAAAGAATCCGCTATCAATGCCAGCGAGTGTACAGAATAACCTGATCAAAAGGAAGGATGTTAGCAGGGTCTCCTAGTGCATGACTTCCCTTTGTCAAAAAAACGCATGTAAACATACCAACAATTAGTTCGAGGAGGAAGAACATGGAATCGATGACGAGGAGGAGAATAATCCGGTGGGACTTTGACATCCACATCGTGGCCGGTTGAGGATGCGAGCGCAGCACGCGCGAAAGGGTTAAGGGGAAAAAGAAAAAGAGTAGTTGGATAGAACGGACCTGCGAGAAGCAAGTTGATATTGAAAGGGGGCTAGACCTCGATAAACTGGCTATCCGATTTGTTTGAGGACGGTTAATAGATAATCGATATGCTGTTGGTGCTGTATAGAAGGAAGATGACGCGAGATCACCATCCTGTCCGCCAGATCATAGACTAAAAATAAGAAGAGAGGGTTCCAAGGTTTGGGATCAGGGGAAGGGGAGAAGAAAGGAAAACACCACGGAAAATTTTGGGGGGATCTTGTTTTTGTTTTCAGCTGCAGGAAGAAGACAATCTGTTCATTGAAGACAGGCGCAGCGAACGGGGAAGATCTCTGGTTGGTCTGGTTGGTGGCGGGATGTTGGAAAAGAGCAAGCGGCAAGAGGCGGCAGAAGGGTCGGAAGCTTAAACAGCAAAGTTTCCTGCCTGTAACTGCGGACCATGGATCGCGGTGAGGGGGATTGAGTGATTGGAGATTGGGCCAATGGATTTTTATCCGGAGACTCCGTATTCTTTGGGTCTGTAACGGAGTATGGAAATAGAGTTATCTGATTTTCTGGAAATGGCAATGGGCGGAGTCGGCTTGCCTTTTAAAACAACCGGGATGAGGGGGGGAGTTCAGTATGACGTTGATGAACAAATTAATGCGGGCGGTTTCAGCATGCGGATTATTTGTTTCTCTCCTTGCGCACTGTTGGAGCAGTTTTGCATTTAGATATACAGCTACTGGAAAAGCCACTGAATAGGCTCAGATGCCGCTGCTTCTTGTGCCACCCGCGTAAAGTTAGATGCAAGGAGCATGGGGTTTATGAGTTTTGATCAAGAAGGGAAAAGTACGTGAAGAGAGAGCCAAGATTTTTGAGAGAAAAGAAATACGTTGTTGATTTGTCAATTGTTATGCGTAGGTTCAATGTAGGTATCAACAAAGGTGCTTGTACTATTTCCAAAGAGAGGATCAAGTGTGCTTTTTGTTAGATTCCCAAGTGTATATACCCAGTATGTATATGCCAAAACTCCAACGTTGAATGTATCAGCATGTCCCAGCGAGAGAGATCCTTGACGCCCTTGGCTGTATGGAACACCTCCTGACTCCGGGTATCCGTGAGGCTATGAGACATAAAACACGATCAATCCGACTCACCCAACTGACCCAACAAAAACCAGCCAGCCAAGATCCTCCCACGCAGTGCTCCAAAAATCCAATTTGATATGAAATCCTGAGTACATAAAACACATACCGAAAGCGTCCTTATATTCTTCCTGTTTCATTAATGCTAATCATTTTCTGTTGTCGCGATCCAAACGACGAGTATAAACACTGTCGTGATTATCTGCGTATATATATATATATATATATATATATATAAATAGACGTCAGCAGTGTTCGATTCCGCGCGTCAAGTACGCCTTAAAGTCAGGTAGTTAAAACGGGAACGAGATGATCCTGCCATCGTCCCATGCACCTCGAACATGTTTCAAAACACAAAACACAACAGGTCGGTCGTTCTCCGTTGACTGACTGAAACCTCACAAGCAAATAAAAAGGTAAAAAGGCAAGGGAGAAGATATGAACAAAACAAAACACCAGATTTAACTGGACACTTGACAGCCTCAATACCACCTAAACACAAAGAGACAACCGAAAGATAGGAATAGAAAAAACCCAGTATTACTCACCCCAACAGTACAAGCACCCGACAGATTGAGCTCCCACCCACCGGCATGCACTTTACCCCTCGCCAGCGCATTCTGCTGTCTCCAAAACCGGTACGCCCCTACGGCTGCAACCAGGATCGCACAGGCATGACATGCACAGGCAAGCGGCAGCCCGACAGTATAGAACCCAAATGTCGTGTCGCGGTCCTCCCGGTTCTGCAGACTGAATAATTGGGCTATGAGAACGCCGTGGAAAGCGAAGGAGAGCGATGTGCGGATGTAAGCTAGAAAGGTTCTTTCGAGGGCTGTTTTCAATAATTATTTTCCCCCACCCCCAGGTGGTAGAGGTATCGTTAGTTAAGGTGTGGAACGGACGGGAAGAGGCTCAGTATTGGTGTTGGGGGGGGGGGAGATGAAGGTGATACAAATGCAACGTGAACAGGAGGGGGCCCAGATAAGAGAAATAAGAAGTAGTTTAACGACAATCGCATTATCTGTGGCCCGCGTGCTCAAAAATAAGACTTGCGGCAAAGTGGATGGGTGTGCATATGCCGGGGAATATTGATGATTCGGAAGAGCAGGGATGGGGCGGGGAGAGAGGGCTGTTTTTTTTTCCCGGAATGGCGTGCTCAACGACCTGGGGGACGCGGCTGGCTGGCTGATTCCTGGGATTCCTCCACAAAACAAAAGAAAGCAGAACCATTTCTCCAATCGCATGCAGGGTAGTTATCCCATCAGGAAAGGAAAACTCAAAACAATAAAAACAATAACAGGAGGAAATATGGATGTGAGGTAATCAGGGGGCGCAGATATAAAATAGCCACCAACCCCTTCCTCCCGTCGCAGCAAATCTGTCTCCCCCCCAACACGCCCCCCCCCCCAGCAAGGTCATTACAGCAGAAGCACAGACAAAGCCAGTTTCCACTCACCAAAATGATCCCGATTTTGATTCCGCGGCACTACCAACGATACATGCCGTGACCAGTACCTGCGCAAACTGGCCAGATGTCCCCTCTGGGTGTCCACACTGGATCTCCTCGTCTGCCCCGTGCTTGTCGTGCGATGGACAACTAGGCGCACGGAGCCCGAGGAGATCGACGACACGGACGATGACCTGCTGTGGTTGCGGTGTTCGCTGCAGTCGTGGTCATGATCCGGATTGGGAGGTGGGAGGCTAACGAGTTCCGTCGGATCTTGGTGGCTCTCGTCGATGCTTTCCTCAATCGCTGTTGATACGCCGGTGTCTCGTGGGTCCTGGGGGCAAGATGGAGGTTGATGGGTTTTATCAGAGCGGGGACGGGAGAGGGATCGGGAACGGGCACTCGTCTCTTCTACTGTTGCTGGGAGGGATGAGGTGGAGGAAGTTGGGGCCGTCTGAGGGTCCGCTTTTCTGCTATCAGGACGTGTCATGATGGTTGCTGGTGGAGATGCATCATGGGCACGTAATTTGACCGGTGGTGGCAAAACACATTCGAGAGCAATGCTTGCAGACGGTAGCTCCTTGAGGTTGCTGGTAGGTCCTTGTCTCTTTTCTTGCTAAAGAGTTTTTTTCCTTTTTTCTCTCCCACTCATTATAATTATCATGCTACGCTTTCGAGATTATCTGGGGATAGGATGGGGTATCGGGTGGTGTTTGAACCATGGATCTGGGATAGTTACCGCCGATACTTTTTCGCCCTCCACCCGCGACGAAAAACTCTCGTTTCCTTTTTTAATTATCTATTCACGGGCCATGGCTCCAATGACATCACCAAAGCGATTTCTTGGAATCTAGAACAGGTCTCTTTTTTTTGTTATATATGTTTTTTTAACCCCAATCAGGTTGACAGGGCGCTGTGGAAATCTCTATGAAACAAACGGCTGACGGGGGGAGAAGACAACTGACAGAAATGATCACCTGGAGATGGTGACGGTTGTGTGTCCACGGATACATATCAGACGGGGAAGAGCGAAGAATCCGATAAGTAGCTAACCACTGTTTTTCCGAACTCTGCTCTGCTCGCTAATACCCGCCAATTTCACCCGTTGAAGCAAAGCATCCCGTGTCGATAAAAGCTTCCCCATGCCCCACGCTGTGTGGCTCACGCTTCCCTACCCAAAATCAACGTTGGTGGAATTACTTTGGGGCGGCAGTAGTTGGCGAGTTCGCAGGCTGCTCTTTTGGACAATGTATCTATCTATCTCTCCATGACGTGGGGCGGCTCGACCTCAGCCACCTCCGGGAGTCAGTTGCCGTCCAGTGGTCCTTGGTCGTTTATCGGCCGGGACACATTGTCTTACTACGGCCAGGAACAATCAGCCCCCCAGGCTTCCAGCAAGGGTAGGAGTAAGTAACGAACCAACCAACCAACCAACGCACAGACCGGTTATTCGGGATTATTTGCGGGTCTCCAGGCCCGGGCTTGTCGGCTGGGTCTGGTTTGCTGGCGATTTCGAGATGCTTAATTCCAACAACCGAACAACCCAGTTCCGCTATTACTGGTAGTAGGTACACAACACACACACGTCCGACGGCGTGGAATGCGCCAGGAAATTTTTCAGCGGGGAGATATGGAAGAGACACCTAGTTACATTATTGGATCTAGACCAGAACTTCCAAAAAACCCCCCACAAGAAACAGCATGTTTCGTGTTTTAGCTTGATAACCCCATCTCTTCCAGCCAAACGAGACCGGAATCGTGCAGGATGCTTCTTTCAGGTGGGAAGTTTCTTTCTTTAGAATAAATATATCTCTCGGGAACTTTGAGACAGGTTAGCTAGCTCCAGACGGTCAGTGCTGTCTGTTTATTTGTATTTGGTCATGCGTCATTGTTGTGTCTCGCACGTCAACAAAACCTTGACAGAATATTTGATGCATTCTAGATTGGATGTCCCTCTTTCGTCGACTCTGAGATTTAGGCGTCCGTAAATTATAGCGACACGAAGCACTCTGCTGCATTTTAATTGGTGTTTCGCTTGTGCGAAAATCTCTAATATATATATCATTTCCCCACACGCAAACCTTCATGCCCTTCCCCATGGGCCACATCCCTGCCCACCCTAAGCCACCTAGTTCAATGTTATGACACATGCCTCTTCAACAGTTCTTGGGGAGTCCCACTGCTCTTCCAAACATCGTAAGCACTGGACTTGCCGTGGAGAATGTAAATATCAAACAGGAGTCTCCCCTCTTCTTTTGTCGTTTTGTCCCCTGTGCATTTCCATCGTGAGTTGGATGTCTCCTTTTTTTAACAATGACGTTGAGTAGTTACTTGGAGTTTACTAGTTAACTAACTAATCGTGCCGCTGCGCAACCCACACCTCGTGTGGGTGCACCACACCAAAATGATAAAAACACCAAAATGATAAAAATCTTGCAATTTCATCATCTTCATCATCTTCATCAATTAATAACTCACCACAATGTCAAATAAGGATAAAAATATCAAAGACTGTATTCAAAAAGCTGTCACTCATCATCAAAATAACTCAAATTTTAAAATACTATCTCTATCATGAGAATTTAAGGTTTCTTATCAACATCTTTGAGTGTATATCAATGGAAGAAATTTGAATACTGCAAAGATTTCAGTTAACAAGAGATTAAATGAGAGTTAGAAGAATATGATTAAATGATAAGTCAAGCTGCTTGATGAAAAGAATTGTCCTCTTATAGCTAAACACATTGAAGATTTTACAAATTTAATGCTTAGATGTTAGTACATAGATTCTACTACCTCTTCTTCAAAAGTCAGCAAGATGTGAACTTATAGATTTATTGAATATTTATCTGAGTATAAGAGGGTGAAACAAAGGTCAATGAATTCAAAGAGAGTGACAGTTGAAGATATTGAATATATTAATACATGATTTGAACATCTTCATATTCTATTTGAGTTCATATAATATATGAATTTTCATCATATATTACTCATTTGCTACAATCTCTGAATAGTTTATCATTTCAGCAATATAAGTATTATTATTTAAAAGTAGTCAACTATGCTGCATATCATGATCTTGTTAAGTATGAAAAACAGCAGTTTCTACAAGATCTTTCCACTATGCAGAAGCAGACCTTTAAATCTGATACAATAGCTGCAGAATAAGCTCAATAAGGTATATATCTATGGAATTATGACTGAGTTCTTGATACTCTTAAGCAGCAAATCTCATCACCTCCTCCACTGCAAATTTATGAAGATAAGAATGATTCAGATCATATATCTATCTTTTTTTCTCAGCTATTCTTATCAAAAATAATTCAAAAGCTGAAATATCATATTAATATTATAGAAAATACCATACAAAGTATTAAAGATACTCTTGATTTGAAATCACTCATCTTGATATGTCATTTGAACAAGATATTCAAAGTAAGTCTAATTCATATGAAACTTAATGAGCAATAAATCACTGAATTAGAGAACTTTTTCAATATCAGTAAATACCACAGAGCTAAAATAATTTGTCATCAGATTCAAGTAGGAAGAGTTCTCATTATTAAAGATGTCAATAGAAAAATCAAGCAGCATAAGGATAATGAAGCTGAAAAAAAGCAGAATAAGAAGTGATAGAGGCTTGAAGTTGATTTTATGAAAATTGATAATAACCCACTCACATCACTGACAGAAGAGGAATTAAATCAATTTAGAGATGACACACATACTGGGAATGATGTAGATAATCTTTTTATTATAGATTAGCTACTGGTTGTTGATATAGAGTGCAATAATGAGGATGTGATTCAAGATTTTTATTGTTTTGATGTTTTTATCATTTTGGTGTGGCGCACCCACATGAGATGTGGGGTTGCGCAGCGGCACGATTAGTTAGTTACATGCTTCCAGCTTATATTAGCAGACAACTCCCCCCCGATATCGGATGCTACAATCCAACCAGACGGGGTTGGAGTTGGCATATGAGGAGCAACTACGAATCAACGGTGATATAAAAAGAGACATGTGAGCCTCCATGTACATAGACAAACGCAGATACATACCTTGTCGTGCGTTGTTTTTAGTCATTGGAAGTTTCGCATACCCGAATTTGAGACGAGAAGGAAAAGATATGCAGGAAGCGATTACTTCATGTCATCCGCAAAAGCATGCTTCAGATGGATTGTTGACGGAGTCGGGAAAAGTTACTGCTCCGACGCAGGAACCTGTGGACCACTGGTGTTCCGAGGTTTGTTACGGCGTTAAATCCTTTTGGTTCAGCAAAATCTTAACAAAGGGGGTGGGTGGGAACTGATCGATATCTAACTTCAATTTAGGCGTATAGCACCTCCGCGGCTTTCGTGCCAAAGCTTGCAGAGAAAGTGTTGCAGTATCTCGATCCCCAACTGACAGACTGCGTGCTGGATGTAGGATGTGGAGACGGTAAATTCACCGGCAACTACATTTCGGATGTGGGGATGGTGCTAGGAATCGACGCATCACCGTCGATGATTGGCTCTGCCAATCAGGATTATGGAAGCTCTAGAGCTGAATTCCGCGTTGTGGATTGCACACATCTAGATAGGGAGCCGTCAATTGTGAGTGGAACATGGGATAAAGTGTGGGTTCACCCTTCCTTGCTCCTAGGATTGTTTGACGCCACATATAGATATATATGCCAATACGATTCACCAGCATTTCTAATGCGGCACTCCATTGGATCCTGAAGGATGCTTCCTCGCGAATGTCCGTGCTGGAGGCAATATATTCCTGTCTCAAACCAAATGGGACATTTGTGTTCGAAATGGGAGGCCACGGTAATGTGCCCGAAGCACACACTGCACTGCTGGCAGCCGTCACGCATCACGGCGCAACCATCCAGCAAGCGCGGGCTGCATGTCCATGGTTCTTCCCGTCTGAAGCGTGGATGAGGGCAACCCTGGGGAAGATTGGATTTCATGTGGAGAAGCTGGAAGCCGAATATCGACCCACGAAGCTGACCACGCATGAAAGCGGGGGCATTGCGGGGTGGGTGAGACTGATGGGTTCGCCAATGTTGGATGTTGTGGATGCGGAGCGTCGAGAGTCTGCCGTTGAGGAGGTCTGTCAGTTGCTTGAAACTGTGATCACGAGGGAAGAGGACGGTAGTAAGTGGCTGGGGTACGTTCGTCTCAGAGGCGTTGCTGTGAAGCGAGGAGGGTCTTGATTCGTGTTCTATATTTTGGTGCGCTGGTGCGCTTTGTATTTTGACTACCGGAATCATGTAGTTACTTGGTTCCTACTCTAAAAACGAAGTGTACTATACACAGTAATCGGCTGGTTTGGTAGAGCCGAAGCTTGTCAATTGACATACTGCTTTCCATTGAGCTACCTCTAGGAGGACCAGGGTTGGCCAGGTAGTTCCAGCCAACGAGAAACAAGAAACACGTCCATGCCATGGCGTTTCAATGGAATTATATGAAATAGAACAGGCTTCAAAATTGAATATCATTCAACATTGATCTTTGTGAATTTTCAAATGACATAAACTTGACTGCAAATGAACGGCTCAGGGTCTATTCCAACATCAAAAATCTCCGAGAAACAAAAGACGACCTTGGAAGCCTTGGAAAGGTAAAAATAAATGTTCTCCGATCCCTAGTCCGCCCTCCATTAAAACTTGAGGAAAAGAGCAGTTCTGAAATGAGACGGAGACGAAAAAAGAAAAGGTGGAAGGAGTAGGATGTTAAAAAAAAAAACCCTCATCCAAACACGATGGATCCCAAAACACAAAATCCACCCTTCGTGCCTGAGGGCAGGTAATGGAAAGAGACACGAAAACCAAACAAAGCCCTAATCCACCCCCCGTCCAGCTCACAAGCCTCCGTCAGTAAAGAGCTTCACCAAACCTCACTTCCAAAGCACCGGCCCTCCATGAAAACACCGTCGACGAATCGAGAGTTTCCAGCAGAAATGCATGTGCTAAGGAAACAAGTATAGATACCCCACATCAGGAACAAGTAAGCGGACAGAATGTTTAAGACCTCTCTGGTAAACCGTATCTTCGCTCACCCGCAACCTGCACAAGGGAGTTTAGTAATCTGAGCCCCCCTTTCCTTGGTAAGAGCTTTTTCTTTCCAGCCTCGCCCCGCTTCTCCCTTTCTTATCAATCTTGCGCTTTTCTCCAAGGCAATCAACTACTGCCACGGGGGCCAGTAAGTAATCGTCCGGAGATGCTTGTGATCTGCCGACCATGGAAATGGAAGATTGGCAGACGAATGATGTTCTGTTCTGGAGCAGCGCGTGCTTTCTTTAGTTTTGATTCTTCAGATTATCAGATATTGAAAGACGTATTAACACCCACCCGAAGCAGGAAAAAAGATGAATGGAAGGCTGACATTGGAGTGATCTCGTTAAAACCCAAATACACTCCAAGTGGGGGATTCAAAAAGGAAGAGATGCGATTCTCGTATACGCTCATTTAAAAATACATGGAATGCGATATGAACCTTCTAGATCGTGAAACGACAGACTGAGAATCTATCGAGATTTTCTGCACATGTTTAAAACAAAGGAGGAAAGGAAAAATATGACCACGGGAACCAAGATACAAAATCGAAGGATATCACAATACATATACACTTACGCGACCCCAGTGGCGACGCCTTGTTCTTCAGAACCAGCGACCATACCTTCTTCAGGGCCCATGGAGAGTTTTCTCACATCCCATCCATCAAAATCAGATCCGTCTTTCTGTTCGCCCAGAAGACAGAATTCCCGTCGTGTTCCATCGACGAGGAACTTCTGAGCGGCATTATTCACATCCTCAGCAGTTACATCGAGAACTTGCTCGCGCCAGCGTTGGTCCATTTCTTGAGTGACACCAGTCATGAAGTATCGCTGTCCCTCTTCATCGACGCTCATGGGAGCATCGAGACCCTGGAAGATGCCAAGTTTCGCTTCGTCAAGTTCCCGCGTTGTCCATGATCTATCTCGGGCGAAGATTCCGGCATTATTGAAAACTTTCAGGGAATTCATGGGGTTGGGGTCACGATAGCTAGAGAAGGCGAAGTAGCCTTGGATCGGGGCGCTGCTGGCGCTGGCTCCGTATGCACCTCCTTTCTCTCGGATTTCTGGATGGAGATAGTTATGAGTTAAGAGCTGGGAGAGGACGCTCAACGATGCGTTTGCTGGGTTGGTGAAAGATGTTGTTGGAAGCGCGAGGCCAGAGTAAGAGACTTTGTAGGGGAGGTTATAGAGTATTTTTGAGGAACAGGGGTTGAACTTAAAGCCGTCGGTGGTAGATGCGGGATTGAGGCTGCGGGGTAGACGGGAAAGCCAATTTTGAAGGGTGACTTCGTTGGCACTAGCGCTTTCCCGCTCACAGACCACACGCACTCGGAATTTAGAAGATTTCGAAATCGCAAATGACTGGATCAACTGAAGTTTTCGAATGAGCTCTTGTAACCGATCTGGAGAGATTTCTGCGTCGTGAAGTAGCCTGGCGGTAGACTGCACTTGTGCTAAGCCTGACAGTTGCTCACTAGCCCAAAACTTTTTGGCAAGACCCGAGGCCGCAACGTTTATAGCATATCGATGACCAGTTCCAGCAATTGCATCAATCGCGCCATTGGTGGACGATCGCAACAGTTCCTGGATCATCCGTGGAGCAACAGGACCGGCAAAATCCGTCTCAGTTACTAAGTCTGATATCATTTTGAGCATGGCCGAGAAGTTCTTATCTAGTGAATAACCGGAAAATTGGAGACCTTCAGAGTAGGCTTCCAAAGACGTCGGTGAGGATACAATGAAAGAAGAGGACGAAATGCCTCCCGTTTTAAGCTTGATTAAATCCTCCCAATGTTCCATCGATCGTGAAGTGGTCCCAAGTCGCATGATGCAATCATTAAATAGGGGTAGGAGCAGCCGTAGCTCATCTGGCAGGTTTTCAAAAACATTCATAGCCTGGAAGTACGAGAGGCCATTCGTTGGGGCTTCTCTCCAGACAACATCGACATCATTTACTTTCGACTCCCTAACGGTTTTCCACTCTTTAGTTCGCGAAATTTCTTTCACATGCAGAGTAGGCAGGCAGCTTAAATCGGCGTGCTGCGCTGCCTCCTGAACCTTCAACAGTTCAAATTCCTGTTTCTTGAGCTGATCAACAGCCGATTCGAGGGAGCCAGCAGCTTCCGTCAACTTAGCTATTTTAGCCTCTTTCCGAGCAAGCTCACTCTCATCCAGTTGCTTATTATGGGTGGGAGAGCCAGCCATGGTAAATGTGAACGACTTGTCCGTCATTAGGTATTTTTTCATCAGTTGTTCAAGGTAACCGCCTTTGTCATAGCGTCGCTTGAATTCATTGATCACCTCATTCCAAGCGAGCTCTTCCATTGGGTTAGAGCCGTTGAACCAGGCTGATATTGTCTTTTCCATGATTCCAATCCCAAAATTGGCAGTTTTATGTCTCAATGCAAGTTCCAGTTGATGTAAGATGCCTTTTACCTTTTCGTCATTAAACCCAGAGGCTGAGAATTCCTGAAAGACATTTTCTACCCTCTCTTTCACAACGGCAACGTCTTTCTCGGAAACTCCATTCACACCGACTGAAAAAATAGGCACTCTCCCAGAAGTATCCAGGCCTGTGTTGGGTGTAAATGAGGAGCCAATCTTGCTTTCAACCAAAGCCTTGTACATAGGTGATCCGTAGCCATCAAGCAACAAGGATGAAAGAATTCCAACAGAAAAGGTTTCCACGATGTTCGTCGTATCACCGGCGAACCAGGATACCGAAGTTTTAAATTGCTTGTCTTCGCTTGTAAATGGGTCAATGGGACCCGGAATCGTGACGCTCAGAGGGCCGTCCTTAAGATCTCTGGGTAGTTTGACATCTTGTTCTGGAGTCGATTTTTCAAACCCATCCAAAACGCTGCCAATATGCTGTAAATGGTCACTTAGCGGCATATCCCCGTAGGTAAAAACTTTCGCATTGGTAGGATGGTAATTCTTTTTCGAGAAGTCGACCAATTGCTTGTGGGTCAGATCCGTAATATACTGCGGATCACCCCCTGAGTTATTAATAGCAGGAAATATCTGCTCTTTAAATTTGATATAGTATAAGTAATTTGCATCTGACACTTGCCCTTTCATCTCATTATAGACCACTCCTTTGAAAACAATGTCGTCCGCTGTGGCAGGTCTGTCATTACCCTCCTTCTGAACCAAGGCGGCGAGAGGATCTTCAGGGCCTAAACGCCATCCTTCTTGTCGAAAATCTTCTTCTTTCAATAATGGGTGTAATACTGCATCTAGGTAAACCGATAGCAGGTTCTGGAAGTCTTGTTTATTGGTGGTAGCAAAGGGATAAGTGGTATGGTCAGAGGAAGTGAATGCATTCATAAAGTTGGATAAAGAGCGTGGTAACATTTTGAAGAAAGGATCGCGGACAGGATATCTATTATAGTGAAAAAAGATCAGCACATAAATTCACGACGTTGGAGAGTTTGCAATATGTATGTGTGTACGTACTTCACACTACCACACAGAGTCGTATGCTCCAGGATGTGAGGGACTCCAGAAGCATCTGGGGGATTTGTTTTGAATCCAATGCCAAAGACATTATTCCTGTCATCCCTGGCAACATGGAGATAGTCCGCTTCTGTCTTGTCGTGCTTTAGTAGCACTGCAGTTAAATGAAGCTCGGGCACATGCTTCTTCTCCTTGACAGTGAACCCATGTAGTTTCTCGCCAACGGCGGGATAGCTGTCTAATTGTGTGACTGTGGAAGCCAGTCTTCGACCTTTACCAAGCAAGCATCCTCGGTTTGCTCTATTGTGCAGAGTGAAGAATGTTGGAGACCTTGACAAAGAGATCCCATATTTTAATGGCGTATTGGTTGATCTTAGCATCTTGAAACCGGCAATGACTGGCAGCTAAATAGGCTATCCGGGAACTGGGGAGCCAGCCAAATTTCGAGTCGCAACGCGCAACTACGGCTGATCCCCTAAGAAGGGGTGCAGAAGCAGTTGGTAGGCAGCAGTTTCAAAGACAGTGACTCTGGTGGTTGTTAAAGTGCTCAAGGCGGAATTGTAGTCAAACCAGGGCTTCAGGCAAACTGAAGCTGCGGTTAATAGCTCTTTAGGAGGACGACACAGTATCTCTATCTTCTGCACGACAAAGATATGGAAACTGCAATACTGATGGAAACAATGATAACCCCCCAGAATAAGTCTGCCGGCAGTGAGGAGCTATATAAATAGAAGGTTGCAAAAAATTTGAGGTCCCAATTAACTAACGAGCTATTTTAGCAAGTTACTTTAGCTGTGGCGTTAGTCAGCCATGTTTATGAACCATTCGGGTTTAGCGCAGTGCTGCAGCTGTGGCTTGTTCCTCCCGAACATCTCTTGAGCCAGAACTCGATCTTGATGCTGGCAGATTCACTCCCGCAGAGAGCAGCCAAACCTCCTCACTATCCTCGTCTTTGCGCTCCGGGGATCGCGGAATTAGATACACAGGCCTGACAAAACCTCCTCTCGTCATATATACTTCTCCTTGTTGCATATTTTCTGCCTGACAGTGTTTGGTGTTGGGCATTGAAAAATTCACTGCGTTTGACTCGGATTCCCCATCACGAGGCCGGGGATATTTAACCCCGTCGACCTCTGTTTCATTGGAGGCCGAGAAGCAGTTGGACCTGATCGATATCCTTGAACCTGCAAGGGCGTTGTTGGGCTGTTCGCATTGTTGCCTAGCTATGGCAGTTGCTACTTCGCATGCTTATCCAGGTTACAACAACTCCAACACATCACCCTCCATTCCCTCGCACACAAACCATTCGAACTTCGCAAACAGACATCCCGATAGCCCAGTGTCGTTGACTTATTCGGGTGCTTCTCACCCAGCAATGGCTCCAGCTCCTATGGCGAAAAAGTCAAAGGGGAAGAAGCCTTCAGACCCCAGCGAAACATCCAAACTGCTAGCAGCCAAAATATCACAACTCGAGCAAGACGCTGCGGGCGAAAAGGACCAAGAGGCTGAAATTGGTACGTTTTTTCTGGGGGATTGTGCTCTGTCATTATTCTGCTTTTGTTACTCCCTGTGGCGCACATTGTGATAAAAAGGTTTTTGTCTGGAGATGTCGAACATGAGTGAGGCTTACATGTCCTACTATGCTCTATAGAAAGAGAAGTTAAGAAAGCTACTCGGGACCTGAATCAACTATTGAACAGCATAGAATCACCCGCGACACGTGTTGAGGCTGTCCAAAAGAGATATTCCGACCTTCTTGCAGAGATGAAAAAACTTGATCGAGATTATGCCAAGAGTAGGAAGAGGGCTGATCAGTTACAGAAGGATCAAGACAAGGGGAAAGCTGAGCTGAACAAGATAGCTACTATGAAAGACAAACTTGAAAAGCTGTGTCGAGAGCTGACGAAGGAAAATAAAAAAGTCAAGGTGCGTGCGTTCGTATCTGTGTGCTCCGTGGAACTCTAAAAATAGGACTGATGATAGATTATGGTTACAGGATGAAAACAAAAGGCTTGAGGAGACAGAAAAGAAAGCCCGTGGTTTAGTGAATGCACGACTTGACTCACTACTTTTCGACATCCAAGACTTCGTGACAGCAAGGGGTGACGCTCGTGGGGAGAAAGCCGATATCGACTTGGACGACGCGTGAGTTTAGCTCAGCTACAATTATTTCCAAGTTATTATACTGTACACACTTCTAACATGCTCTGCCCAGTGTTCGAGCGAAAATTAAAACGATTGGCGACAAGTTTGAAGCTCGGGAACATCACTACAAATCACTTCTACGCAGCAAGGATGCAGAAATCCAAAGCCTCACTGCCAAATATGAAGAGCAAAGACGTGCAGCAGAGAACGAGGCACACAGATGTCGAGCTCTCAGCACACAGGTCTCTACCTTTTCACAGACGGAAGCCGAACTACGAAGTCAGCTCAACATTTACGTAGAAAAATTCAAGCAAGTGGGTATTCCCGGCCATCATATGTTTGTATTACTTCTTGATGCATTTAATGACAAACCCGATAGGTTGAAGATACACTAAATAACAGCAACGAACTTTTTTTAACCTTTCGCAAAGAAATGGAGGAAATGGCCAAGAAAACGAAGAGACTCGAAAAGGAAAACATGACACTCACTCGAAAACATGAGCAGACGAACCGTAACATTCTGGAGATGGCAGAGGAACGGACGCGAAATAACGACGAACTTGAAAAGTGGCGCAAAAAGAGCAACAACCTTGAAGCTCTTTGCCGTCGGATGCAGGAACAAGGCCGGGGTCAAGCACTTGCTGGTGAGCTTGATGCGGTAGATGACGAAGGGACAGAAAGCGAATATGACGACGAATATGAGGATGAAGAAGACGATGAAGATATAAGTGACGAGGGAGAATATGATGATGATCGTCATCACCACCACCATGGTGAACATCAACATGCCCCAGCGCCAAACCGACCTCCTGATGGGAAACCCGTTTTTGGGCCGCCGCCACCGCCTGCGCTGACGGAGACGAAATCTAATGGTCATCGCGGTGTGTTAAATGGATACAAGCATTAAATGAAAATAATGAAACAAAGATAAAAAACATGAACAAAATGGCTAAACACATACGTAATACGAAGGAGTGGGAAAGGGCTATCTATCGCATTTGTTGCTGTTCAAGCAGGTTTCTTATATTTAAACACGTTGAAACGGCAATTGCTCAATGGGATAACTTTCGGCAATTCCTGGTGATATGCAGTATGAGGGAACTTTGTTTTTTGTCAAATCATCGCCCTCTCGATCACCTCAAACTCCCTCCACCTCCTTCTCTCTGTTTCTTTTTCTTTTGGGGTTCAGTCTTGTTGATCGTCAATCCCCGTCCCGAATTCACATCTATTCTAGCCGCTCTAGCGCCCTACGGTCATATTATATGCAAGTCCATAGGTATCACAGACCAAATTTTCTGTCTGAGACATCGTTTGGGAACGTGGGCAAGCGGTAGCATTAGTGATGTAGGAATCTGATACATGTAGATGGATTGATAGTTCTAGCTCAATATTTCCTAAGAACTCCGACTACAATAAGACCATATATCTAAAGACCCCCACAAGAAATGTAGGAATTCCATACAATATATAAAACTAACTGTCCAGACGAAGAGAGGCACAGGTGAGGCGATTCTCAATACCATTTATATTGTATACGGTCATGACTCGACTCGAGTATAAACAACACCAACCAACAGAGAAGATAGAATAATCAATGCATCAGCGGATCCGCATGAGATTCATCAATCATATTTATTCAAAATTACAGCTTGCTCTCTCGCCCCAAATACCCATGTCCAACCATCAACATCTGCACCGCCTCCTTAACAATCTCCTCCACAATCTGCCTGGCAGGCTTAATATCCTTCACAACAGCAGCGACATGCCCCATCAAAAACGGAATATCAACTTCCTTCCCATCCTCCATATCCTTCGCCAGTGGCACAATCCCAGCTTCTGTTAGCTTCCTAATCTCCTCAGGCTTCCTATGCCACTCCTTAATGTAATCATTTGGAAGAACACGCAGCGGTCGCCCAGAGACAACAAGCGTAGTAGCGGTATCTCCAAAGCCAGCCCTAACCACGGCTTCCTTATGCATGCGGCTCGCCCCGCTCTCCTCAGACGCCACAAAGCGTGTGCCAATCCAGACCCCCGTAGCACCCAGCATCAGCGACGCAGCCAAACTACGTCCATCATTGACACCACCCGCTGCAACGACCAGCGCCGGCTTTCCCGTCAAGGGACTCCTGTATTTCCGCGCAACATCCACGACAGCGGGAATAAGAACGGAAAAGGGCACATCACCAGTATGTCCACCGCCCTCGCCGCCCTGAGCACATATGATATCCACACCAGCCTGCAATGCCTTCTCCGCATGCCTCGGGGCACCCACCATATTCATAACCAAAATGCCAGCCTCATGTAGCCTTTTGATGACATGTGCGGGGGGGACACCAACAGCTGAAACGAACAGCTTCGCACCGTGCTTGATGGTGACTTCAATGAGCTCGTCAAGTTGCCCATGCGTGTAGTCATGGTTTGTCCTACGGGCACCCTCGCCTACTTTTGGCAGAGCCAGGTCAACACCAAAGGGTAGGTTGGGGCTCTTCAGGTAAGATTTTAGCTCAGTGAGCATCTCGTCGAGCTGGGCGGGGGTGTAGCCGAGTCCGCCTACGGTTCCCAGTCCGCCTGCGTTAGAGACGGCGGCGGCGAGAGGCCCGCCGGATGTTCTAGCCATGCCGGCCAGGAGGATAGGATATTGGATTCCCAGGAGGGTGGTGAGGGGTGTGGTTATTTGAGCCATGGTGAGCGGTATGTGTGTGTTTGATTTGGGAGTGGTGGAGAGGAGAGGCTCTATCGTTATGCCCGGCAAGAGAGACTATCGATGGATAGCAATTGAAGGCAAAATAAGACACCAAAGGGGGCTGGTTTATATCGGTAGGTCTAACAGGATATGGAAACAGAAAATAGAATCAAAAGAGGTTCAGGCAAGTGAGCTTCCAAAAAAGATCGGGGACTGCAGAATTGGCCTGACTGTGATTTATATTGTCCCTGATCCCGGGAGACGGAATCCAGCCTACGAAGTGGAGAGTAATGCTGAGCGCTGCTAACTATCCCAAGCTTCTGTTATTCTCCACTTTCTTTTCTCTGTGAAATCTCGTTGTCTTCCTCTATTGCGCAGCTCCTCCACAATGTTCCTCCAAAGCACCCAGCTTCTCTCCGCCACAGTTCCTGTTAAACCGCGGTTCAATTTTAGTCTGGGTATGACCTAATTAGTAAAGATCTTTCACCGAGGCTGGGTTAAACTTAGCCTCAACTAAATCTGAGAACCCCGCTAGCATGTGAAGCAGAGCAAAGAATAGAATGGTTAACTGAACACATTATGGAGTGGTTCTATGGAAAAGGTTGTACTGGTTTAAATGGAAGTTGAGATGTTTCGATCAAATTAGCCCCTGAATATCTAGATGACTTAGGGCAGCGGAAATCACCTGACCACCACCTCGGCAAAGTTTTCGCCCAGCGGAGATGCGTTGAACTGTGCAGTTGCAAGCGAATTGTCTGCTTATCTCTCAGGAACCTGCAGCAATTTTACCCTTTACTGGATTACCGCCCCTCAATATCAGGGGTAGGGGTAGATTAGGGCCTAGGATTAGGTTAGGATTAGGATAAGGAATAGGGGTTAGTGAGGGATCGGATAATGCCGCCCCTTGTCCAAACCCTTCTCATTTACTATTGCATTGGATACATATAACTGCCAGATCACTTGGTTCTACGTCTTTCATTCAGTAGAACGCGCCCATTCCTAGGGATTTTGCCTGCATATTTCAACTTCTCTGATAGGGGTGGTTCTAAAGCATTGAGATTTTATGGAGCTACCTCCTTTCTAAATGGCTTTAAAGGTTTATTCTAGAGAAGGTCCATGTTGGGCTGGACGTGAGTAAGACGGGTGCGTGGCTAAAACTGGTATCGCAGACAGTGGACGAATATATAAAATTGGGATTGGGAAACAGAGGAAAACTGCAAGAAGCCCCAATGCTATATCGGATTTAACAGATTTTTATCGATTTTCATTAATGCCCGCTCCCACACCCCCCCCCCCCCATGTAAGGGAAACAAATATACTCATCCTATCGAATCAGACAGCCCCCGGATCTCTCTCTCCCGCTTCGAAAGATTGATAACAATATCTCGTACACCTCTCAACATCCGTTAGAGGTCCATCACCATCCAGAATCTTCTTGGCTACATCAGTCGAGTACATCGCAACACCAACCTCCTGACTCGTATACCAGCTGGCCCGATCCATATTCCCGCTGCCAAAAATAACCACCGCCCTATCAACAATCGTCAGCTTCAAATGCGTTCGTCGAAATGCACTTTCCCCATTTACATCCCGCCCCATATTCCGCGCTTCCCAATACCTAATCCTTAACTCCCCTCTTGTGTTTGTCTCCTGGCCACCCTCTTCTTCATCTCGCGCACCTGACTTAAGCAACTTCTTGTGTTGCCTAATCAGGTCCTTCATGCAACGCTTTGTAGTCGTCCCGGCCGTGACAAGTTGTTCCAGTACCATTAGATTGGTGTTCGTAACGATAGTGACATCAACGCCTCGTTCCAGAGCTTTCAGTAGCCCATTAACCACCGGACGTGCTGTAATATTCGGCGTGATTATGTATATCTCCTTCTTCGCACTCGCGAATAGAAAGCTGGTGAATGCATTTAGAGGTGTCCGTGGCTCAGGCACTGCACACTGGAAAGGGCATGGGCGAAATTGCGGATCCTGATGGTGTGATGACGGTAGGAAAAGCGTAGTGACATCTTGACTTGAAGAGATGTTCGGAAATGATTTTATTAGTCGTAATGGACTTTCTTGCCGCGGCAGGATCATGGGAGGGAGAATTCCACTCGTGGTAGCCCGATCGGCGGTGTCCTGAAGCCCAATTGTCTGTGGAGACTCTGGGGTAATTACTGGAGCCCAGACCTGTGCCCACCAGGTATAGAACTTTTCCACAATGCTGCCTCTCAGTCGAAAGGCACCTTCAAACCATGACTCCCAGCTTACATTGCAACTGGGCACCCAAACGAACTTACGATCGACGATAGCGAATTTGGGATGCATGACGGAGAATGGCCGGATAAATATAGATTTCACCGTTAGATCCACACCCGGGATCTGTGATGGTTTCGGCAGCCCGAGTTTCTGATTCCATTCTGACGGTTCGTAGATGTATCCGTTTTCAGACTTGGTATGTTTTAACTTTTGCAGTATGGAGACGGATGAAAAGCAAAGATAGACTTTGATGTTTTCGACTGGAGTCGTAATGGGATTTGTCGAAGCTCGTCTTTTCCGAATGACCTTTGCAGATAGTCTTTGGAGCGTTTTGAAGAAGTGCTGGCGGGATTTCGACTTGGCCGCCCAAAAACAGGTGACGAAGATGACTTCCTGATCTGCAGTTTCAAGATCAGGCAGAATGTAATTGCTCAGTAGGCTGTCGCCTGTTCCTGTACAGAATGATGGCTCTAGTGAGGCTGCTGTTGCTGAGTCTGCTAGGGAGGAGTGCTGGTGTGCTTCCAAAGGATCTGTTGCGATATGTTCACGCCATTTTCCGATGGAGTGCTGGGTGATAGCCATTGATAGAGTAACATACATTAACTAATGTTTAATTCAATGGATTTCAGCTTTGAAAAACTAGGTATGTCGTGCCTCTCTGTGTTCTTACAGAGATGGTATATGTAAGAAGAGCGTTAAGCAACTATTTCGTTAGTTATTTCCTTGATGATGGAAGTTTTGTTTTCTTTTCCATTAAAAATAAATATAAGGTCATTCACATTAATATATTAATGCCCTCTGTAACACTGCATAATGTGACAAATTTTATTAAGTATATATGCAGATTTTCAGCAAGCTTCTGTAGAATGTATTAGTTATATTTCTCATCAATTGATTTGCTGCTTTTTATAGTTAGTATTCAAGCAAAATTAACTTGTTCCTTATTAGACTGAATTACCTTTCAAAACAGGCAAAGATTTTGCTTGATAATTTTCTCAAAATCCATTGCAATTTACAGGAAACAAATATTTATCTATTCACTTTTGTTCTTGAGTTTCTCTTGTTTTCCTCTCTTCTCTCTGAGCTTCAGATATTTCATGTAGTCAGAAGAAACGGCTGAGGAGCTATAAAAATAAATGAGCAGGTAGATCAATTTATCAGCTGGCACCCTAACGGTTGTCTTCTCTCTGACAATGCCACCATTGAAGAGGCCTCTTTAATACCTCAGATAAAGACATACTCAGTATTTCCTAATTATGCTATCCAATCACAACTCCTCCAGACCAGCATGTTTGAGAGGAAAATATGGCTCAAAATCACAGTCAGTGCCAGAATTCATATAGACATATCCATGCATTGGTGTGTTCTGCCACACTGGCAGAAACTGGCCTGAAAGATTGTTCTCATCCAAATAATAGAACTCAACATTGACAGAAGACCAGTCATGATCAATCTCATTCATGAAATAGAATTTTATTAACTATACCCTTCCTTGCACTGAAACGACTTGTTTCAATGGGACTACTAAGAAATAGTCCCGTCCTCCACTGCTGTTCGATTTGAACTCGAGCCCACGGTTTTGATAGGTGGAAACGGGGCAAGAGAGTTGACCTGTTTCTCACGCGGGTCGCCACCTCAAACGAAGCAAGGATGTAACAGGAACTCTCTGGGACTGAAGCTTTAAACCACCTCCATTTTTATGTCGCTTTGGAGGAGCTAACAACACCCATTGATAGATTAACAACAGCTGGAAGACAAACACTGATATATGGTATATCCCTTCAACTCCATACCCGATTTGTTTGCATTGATAAAGTTGAATGAGGAAGTAAAAAAATGGTGAAACAATATCTTAAATCAACTTCATACAATGAACAAAGATGTGTGTAAAGTTGTAAAAGAAAAGAAGGAAAGCAGTCACAAGCTCTCATACAATGCAACTATGACACCTAAAAATACAGCAACTACCAGTAGAGTAACATATATAGGCTGTTTCTTTGGCTCCATGACCTGTACATGCCTCAATGGCCCTGATGCTGGTTGAGGAGGATCCCCAACAGCGCCATTAGGAGCTGTCAGGAGTGAACCGGGTAAACTTCGTGGTTTGTAGGCATTTGGACGTTGAAGTGCATCGACAGACTTCATATGGCTTTCGATTGGTAGCGCTGTGGAGAGGGTGAGGGTAAGGACGAAGACGAAATATATAGTGAGAAGGGACAGGGTTAGGACGGATGGTCCGCGTTTGGAGGTTTGGCGAGGAAACATTTTCGGGATTTGGTTGGTATGTGAATGGTCAAGGATGGGATGGACAGATCATGGAATTTTTGATAGAGTTGTGGTTTTGAAAGTGGTTTGGGAATATGTTAGATTGCTGTCTGCTGTCTGGGTGTTCAAGTGGAAGGCCTAGGGAAACACAAAAGAGAGGAGATCGAGGAGGGGGAGCTCTGGCTATACAGATACAACCAACCAATCCTCGACAGGCAAATGGTTGTTCTCAACAGAAGTATAGGGCTGTGAGCACGTCAGAAATAGCCAACATCGTAAGCCTGTGATGGCTAGTCTTGCGATGAACTGAGAACATATGGTACTCGGATGGATATCTTTATATTATCCATGAGCTCTCACTCTTGGTGGGGAAGACCAGGGCTTCTGTTCACGCTAAGACAGCCTGGCGAAAAATAATGTCCGTCTGAGGCTGCATTATTTGTGACAGCTGAGTGGGGGGTTCTCTCGGTTAAATATACGAAGAGCATCCGGAGACCCTGATAGGTAACGGATATCGAGATCAGCTACCTTAATGATGGAGTTGGCCATTTTTTGTGCATGTCAAGGATCTCCTGATGATACCATAGTTTCAAAGGAAACATAGCCTGGATAACTACATCATGGAGAAAAATCCAGGCAATTATTTCAAGATTAATAGTGGCTAGTTTCTCTAGCCATCCTTGAATAACAACCGGATCGCCAAGAAGGGCAAATGGCATCAACGATAGCCCTATATGACAATCGGACCGATTTTGCTTATGTTCGGAATATGTTATCCGAGAGAAGCATGGGATTTTGAACTTATTGGACTTTTATGCTTCCTGTATATTGGTGGGATACTACGGCTGCTCTAATCACGTGCCTGTCTCCCTGTCAGACCTCGGCTGGTTAGTTGTACACACAACAACGTTTAGTAAATTCTGGTATCTGGCAACACAGTCAAGGCCTGGTGGCAGAGAGCATTTAAGCATAAAACATCAAACATTGCACTGTATCAGCCACGCCTCAAGAAGGCACCTTTGGGATATAGTTGCAGTTTGCCCTCGCCCGCTCCTCCCGTGTGGACATTGGATGAACATGAACCCCCTTGAAGTGATTTCAGATAGTTTATATTGTAAATGATCCTCTTGTTGGAACCAGTAGAAATATTACGGCTATTCTGCGGTACCTTGTCGCTTATCGACAACGGCCCGCGCGGCACAGTCACATGCCTCGATATACTTCACGTGATGCCGAGAAATATTAAACCCAAAACGCGCGCATAATTGACGTCGCGCCGGTTTTGTGCTCAGGTAGCGAAATTGGATCTGGAATGTCGAATATCAACGAACAGCTGATATTAGAATGTTATTATGGCTCATTTCACATTCTTCTAGTACTTCGCGGAGTACAGTCGTAAGAGTTCCTGTCTCAACTTGTTAGGATGGTGTCAGATAATCCTGAAGAGCAATTCCTCCGCCCGCCAAGGTGCGTTCCCAAGATCCAAGATCAGCAATGCAGCATGACAGACTGGATGTTATAAATCTTCTCTAAAGGTCCTCCATTGACTCTTTGATTCCTTTGTAGTGATGGGGAGGAGGATTATGCTCCTGTGTATCGGTCCCCTTCTGCATATTCCCCGCTCTCTACATTTATCTTACCAAGGGGTGAAATGAGGCACTTTCAGCAGCAATATGCTGATATTTACTTTTTGCGATTGGCGAGGTTGAAGCCAGCAGTTGCTGAGATTGCGGTAGCTTCATGGGAAGGGTTTAATGTAAGTACATTTCCCCCTTGAACTGTTCTGGGGTTGTTGGTCTTTTCTGTCCTAGCGTTGAAGATAAACCGTCTCTCTCTTTTATATTTACACCTTGACTTAGAGTGTTGGGCACTGATGAATTTATGCCATGTACAAAATGTATGCTGACTTCTTAATGGTAGATTGCTGGTGAGTATGCAAGGCGTGTAGACAGAGTCTTAGACGTACGGCAAGGTGAACTATGTTGGGTTGCTGGCACCGTCTACATGGATCTTCCATTAAAACCTAATATTCTAGACGATATATCAAAAGAAGTAAGGCTTGCTGGCTCAATATTTTGCATATTATTTCTCCTCCAAATTCTTATCTGTATAATTTCCACGTTCTTACAGATCTAACCGAATCCTTAGCATTGGACGGCTGCTCCGCCTTCACGCAAAACATATCTCGACCCTTCCAATCAAGCATCAGCAAAGACTATGCTGGAAGATGAATCGGGTCGTTTGCAACTGACTGGCACTTTGCTTCAATCGGCTCTTTTAGTAACAGGAGCCATTGTAGCCGTACTTGGCACCGAGAACGTCAATGGTGATTTTGAAGTCATCGATATTAAGGTGCCAGATCTACCCGCCCAACCTGAGCGTTGGGAGAGATCATCAGCGGCCCCTCAAGAGTCCGCTAAACGAAAGCATGACTCTTTGGAACAGACACGTGGTGGCACAGGGGGGAAAAGAAAAAAAATAGCAATGGTCAGCGGCCTTGGAATCACAGGCACATCAGGGGATACCGTTGCGCTGTCCTTATTAACAGACTACCTTCTCGGCTATAATGAACCTCATCTTACTGCTCAAACAAATGAAACCAATTCCTTTCCGTTTTCATCTCAAATAACACGCCTCATAATAGCCGGAAATTCCCTTGGAAGCAGCATACTCTCTACCCAATCTGAAGCCGAAAATGGGGATTCCACTATCACAGCAGCGAAGAAACGCCACGGGCCAAAAAAATACGGATACGACGCCGCAGCCTACAATGCCTCCCCAATAAACCACTTCGATACCTTCCTCGCTGAAATTCTTCCCAGCATTCCCATCACTTTGATGCCTGGCGAAACCGATCCAGCGAATTTCTCATTACCCCAGCAGGAAATTCACAGGGCCATGTTCCCCCGTTCAAAAGCCTACTGCTCGGCAGCGCGGCCAGGGACGACTGGAGAACCTACAGCAGAACCTGGTTGGTTGGATAATGTGACGAACCCATGGGAAGGAGATGTAGAGGGCTGGCGATTTTGGGGCTGCAGTGGACAGAATGTTGACGATATGCTTCGTTATATCGATTTGGAGACGGAGGGAGATGGCCTAGGTGGTAACGAGAGTGATAAGGATGGAGAGGCGAGATTGCGTTTGATGGAAGCTATGCTCAGATGGCGGTGCGCGGTGCCTACCGCGCCTGATACGTTGTGTATGTTTTTCCATATCCTTTTCTTGCGCCCTTTGCTATTACCGATATTTCCGTTGCAATTTACTATGGTATAGGTTTGCTGACGTATTACTCTACAGGGTGCTACCCCTATCAAACGCACGACCCATTCACCCTCCAGTCCTGTCCACACGTTTTTTTTGCAGGGAACCAGCCAAGTTTCCGAACGGCGATTGTCGAGAGTTCCGCGGCGGTTTCTTCGTCGGGAACTGGAGATGAGCAGGGTATGCGGGTACGTATCATTACTCTCCCGAAGTTTAGTGAGACTGGCGAAATTGTGCTTGTTGATGTGGACACGTTGGAGGTGGAAGTTGTCAGGTTTGGGACTTTTGAGAGGAATGCGGAGGATAAATTGTCATGACACAATGGGTTTCAGTTCGTCGATTGAAATCTTATAAATATTCTTAATAATATCTACCTCTTGTGGTAAGACATGAAATTGTGTACGTTTGGGTACCAACGGGACACATACTAGAGAAATAGACTCTGATAAGTGGGCAAACAATTGTGAAGAACGCTCGAATCACTTCTTGATGGAGATACATAATTTGTTTATTTATCCTTCCCGATCAAATTAGTAGCACTAAAGTCGAAACCTAATAACTATGTATGCATTCGAATGTGAAAAAATACTGCTGGGAAGAGAGGAGGAGTTCTTCACCAGCTTCCAGAGGTAAATCTTGCAATATGAAAGAACAAAAATTGAAATCAACCGCTCTCCTCTTCAATCCTCCAGTATATCATCTAAATAACAGCAGTCACCAACTACTTTCCGTTCTACATATTCATGTTCAACTCTTTAAATGTTTTACGATCTTGAAAATTTTGATGCCCCTCTATAAGCCTTTTCCATCAACAATCCCACCATCAAATACCCCATGCACACATGATTAGACCTCCCATTCAGCTGTGATACACGATGCTGATCAACGAAAAAACTGGTAATTATTCAAATATCACCTTTCATACCTAACTCCCAAGTTGATGACATTTATGGCCATCTTCCCGGCATCACGAATGAATGTAGCCCATACAACATTTTCCTAAGCGTATACATACACATGTGACGTTCGATCAAATCTATGTAAAGAATGTTTCTTGTTAGAAAACCAGCAATCACGGCACAACATCACCGTTTTTCTATAACTCTGCTCTCCTCACAACTCACACTCATCCATGAACAGCAATCTCCTCCTCCCGCGTCCTCCTAGTCCCGTATTGCAAACATCATGTCCCACGGTATCACGAGTGGATGAAAGATCCGGTATGTATATGCCCATTATCCTCAAATATATTATCCACGGCTTGCACACACAATCCGTATGTATATCTATATGTATATCTTAAAACTAACCCGTAAAAATGATAACCCAGGAAATCCAACAAGCAACCGCTTCAGAACCGCTCATGCTAGAAGAGGAATATGCTATGCAAATCGGCTGGCGCACAGATGCGGATAAATTGACATTTATCATCTGCCTACCGCTTCATGGATCTTTATCATCATCGTTATCACGTCCGGACACGGCTGCTGGTGCTGATGTCATTGACGATATCCAATCCACGACACTTACCGATCCAAACATCGACAGTCCAGCTATGATGTTGGGGGATGTCAATTTGTTTCTGAGAGTAGATGATCAAGAAGATGGTGTTGGTTACGATCACGATGCTGATAGTGCTACGAGAATCGTCGGTGAAATCGAACTTATGATTGCGGAGAAGGTCAAGCAGGGGAGGGGTTTTGGACGGGCTGGTCTTCTTTGTTTCTTACGATATATTGCTGATCATGAGGAGGAGATTGTTGGAGGGGTGGTTTCTTCTGCCTCTGCCACCGCACCCGCTTCTGCTGCTGGCAATGGCACTGATAAGGAGCAAGGGGGGAAAGGTGGGAAGCTAGCATATCTATCTGCGAAGATTGGTACGGATAATGTTCGCAGTTTGGCTTTGTTTGAGAGTTTGGGGTTTAGGAAAGTGCGTGATACGGCAAATGTGTTTGGGGAGCTGGAGATGCGTAGGGAATGTCTGAGGCAAGGGGAGGGGGAGGAGTTGTTGGGTAAGTGGGGGGTGGAGGAGTATAGGGAGGTTAGGTATGAGCGGTAGGGCGTATTTGTGAGAAGGATGAGGGAGTAAGCAGATGGTTTATATGACTGTCCATGCGAGTGGAGAGACACGGGGGTTGGTTATTATGCTGGATTTATTGGCATGTTCGGATTGCGGGCATTGTGGATGATCTTGATGAGATTAATGATAGATAGATTTTAAGTATTGATGTTGGAAAGGAGAAACGGAAAATAGAAGGGTAATGTCCTAAAAATACTCGTGGGTGGCTGCCAGTCGTATATATATATATATCCTTCAGGGGATTCTGACGAGTGGATATTGAAGTTCAAAATAAGGGCGTCTTGATGAAACCATCCGGGTTTATATACAGCGTCAAAAAGAACAACCTAAAGGTCCGAAATCTGAAAGTTGTATCAGAGGAATAGAATAATACATGGACAAAAACCAACTTCATTTCGAACGGACATCGAAGCCATTGGCGAGATTCACACCGACAGAAGAGATACAACTAACCGGTTCTCTTTTCCAACATAGAAATTGCCATTATATGGCAGTGAAAAGAAAAATAACCCCAGGCCTATCACTGGATAGCATAATTTCCTTCATTATACGGGGTAGTTTTTTTTTAGTCGATAACCGCTCTTGTTTTGAACGCAGAGCCATCTTCTAACTTCTTCAGGGATGTATTCGAGAATTGGAAAAGGTGGGTATATCTCTTAAACACAGTTCAATCTTGAACGAAGGATATTTCGGGTACATCATTAAATTTCGCTTCCGATGCGAGGCTTTTTATCATTTTCATTTTCAATAATTTTCAATTTTCAATTTTTTTTTTTTGAATTTGAATTTAATTATTGTATCAACTCCATGCACAATTCCCATCGCAACTCCCCTTCACATAGTCCTCCAAAGCATCCCCTTTACGTGGACTTCTTCCTGCCCTTGGAGACATCGGCTATTTTGAGAGCTGTATATTGTTGCAGGTTAGCCATCATCTCTCGAAAACCCTATATAAAATCCCAGGGAACCGCCATTTTTCGAAGCCGGATCCTCGAGAACGGCAACTGAGAGGATACAGGCACGTACAGGGAGGTAGGCTTTGCTTGAGCTTGTCTGCCTTGTCCGAATCCTTCAGGACGAGGGTGTAGATGAATCGTTGGCATCGGACCTTGAACTTGATCTGGGAGGTCTTGCGGTTGCGCTTGATGCGGGCGGCTGTGTTAAAAAAACGCATCTAGTCAGCATGGAGTTCGCTCTTTCTTTCAAAGATTTCGTTCCAGTATCCGTCGCATTTTGGAGTCTTCTCCTTCATATCCCAAGCATCGAATATAACATCTCGCATGCCGGCATGGGACTGTTGGGGGAGTGTGGGGAAACTGACAAGAGGCATCCTTCCGTCTGCAGATCTCGATGAACTGCTTGATATCTGAGACTTCGCTAGGCATGATGGGCGGATGGGGATGAGAGTTGGAGTTTTGGGAGGTAGAAGCGGAGGCGGAGGAAGGTTATATTTGTCTGGACGTCGCAAAGCAAAGTAAAGCAGAGCTCTTCTTGGCCTGGTTATCTGGGCTATGGATGCATGATTGTGCGGTGTAGATTGATTAGGGTTCGGAAAGTCACGTAGCCCTTAGCTGGGCTTAAAGCGGCAGGTGGTCTGTGCGGAACTGGGACTTGGCATGTATGCTCGGATTAGTCATCCTAGTTGGGCAGGCAGGCAGGTTTGTCCCTCACTGTGAGGAGACGTGGTGTAGAGGTATTTATGAGGGGGCGATTATCACCCCTCTATATAGAGATACATTTCTACTCTCTTATCAGATGGGCTATAGCCAACACAACTTCAACATGCCTACCCAACTGGATAAAGCCTTAAATTCAAAGGTATATATATATATATATATATAGCAGCTCCTCGAGAGCCATCAATATACATCCATCCTATATCACGTTTATGCTAATCCTATACTCCTCAGAACCTATTCCTCGGTAAAAATAAAATACAACTCTTCAGCAGCTCCGTTACTGACCATTATCGGCAGGATTTGCCGGCCTGGTAACGGCGGCAGCAGCATGGTCCATCTGGGGTGGCGAAATGTTCCCTGCGGCAGACTCTCTGTCAGCTCCAACTGGAGGTATGTGCTTTAATTCCCTGTGGTGATCCTCCTCCTTCTCCGTGAAATTTGGAACAGGCCTTTATTAACCACTCTTCCAGACCCAGAGAATTGGACGATCGAGGAACTGAGAAGATGGCTTAGTTCGGTACGTTGGCCTCCCTTTGTTATATTGCATTTCGGAGGCATTCACCGTCTAACAGGTCCATGTGTGCAGCGTGGTCTCCTTCCAAGCCCAAATGCGTCGAGAGGAGATTTGATCGAACGTGTAAAGGCGAATATGAGGCTTCCACCACGGTCGTAGTGGTCTCTCCGCGATCGATTCGGTTTTTTTTTTTTTTTTTTTTTTTTTTTTTTTTTTTTTCCTGCTTCGTTGTCTATTTCCCGTCTCTAGATGAAGCCGTTGTTTCCGGTGTATATCCCAATAAAGTCCTCTCCGTACCGTACATTCAGAGTCTTCCCTGTAAACTCAATCCGTTTTGTAGACCCGCGTAGACTTTATATTTCCCGCCGCATAGTTGCACTGTCGGTGCTCAAAAGCAGTGCCAAAAAGCCCTTGACTGTCGCATATACCGTTAAGGTTTCTAGGAGATCCCAATAACTCAACGGCCCCCTTTGATATGATCTCTTCACACAACCAACCGAAAATTCTGACTCTGAATCAACCAATGTTTCTTCCCCGCCGCCCTCCCCCCATGCCCATCGCTCTGCGGATTTGGCACAAGAACAAACGTCTCACTGAACCCCCGGTTCGACAACCCCCCGGGATCCCTCTCCTCCCCAAACCGCACAGACCCACTAACCGTGACCAAAATCGACATATTCCTTGCCACAGCTCTGCCCGATAACGGTCTGCTGCCACCTGTTGCGCCCGATGATGCATCAAGTCCCGGATAATTCATGTTGATTATTTGGCAATCGTAGGCCTGTACCTCGTAGTGGGTGGTTGGCATTTGTTTTGCGAAGATTTCTTGCACCGAGGGGCCGTCTGCCACGACGTTGCCGTTGAAGAGTATTTTGCAGAGAGTGGGGGGTGGAGTGTAGAAGGAGGCGATGGTGCTTCGGGAGGCTTGGAGGGCGGGGTAGAAAGATTGCACGAAGTCCGTGGCGGCTGCTTGGGGGTTAGATAATTAGATACAAAGGAAAGAGGGGAAGAGGCCCTGAAGTTTGATTAGAGATACGTACCATCTGTGGAGATCTTGGTGAGCGTGTCCTCTGTCACTTGGGTCATGGCGGAGGTCGTTATTGTCCTTTGTATACGTTGAGGGGTTTTCCCCGCTTGGAGAGAATAACAGGCAGTAAGAGAGGAGAAAGGGTGAAGAATTCAACAAACAAACGAAGATAAACCTTCACAAATCATCCAGCCTAGTTAAGTAATGTCGCTTGTCGGTCATGGGGGTTCAGTGGGTTCAGATAGAGCAATATACTGTACGGAGTGATAGGTAGTTGATGTCAAAAAAAAAAAAAAAAAAAAAACCGTGGGTTGCAACAAGATCGGTTTTGGTGGAGTTGCGGTGCCACTTCGCAAAAAGCTTGGACCACATTAGCTCCTTTTTTTTATATATATTTTTTTATTCCCCGCCCAAATTGTGCTGTCCAGTTTGCGACGTAAGCGGTAAATAACCTGCACGGCTCGGACAACCATGCCGGAAATTGAGCTTCGCGCTGTTTCCAGAGCAGCATGGCTTATCAGGTCCACGGGCAGGCGACCTTGGATCTGTCCGCCATGCAGAAACGCTGTTGTTCGGAGAGAATCGCGGCGCGCAATGAGCAGCGCTCCGCAGGTTGGCGACAAGAAGCCATTCTACATTACCACACCTATATTCTATGTGAATGCGGGTGAGATTTTGTCTTATTCCTTCCCCCCCCCCCCAATTTTTATGTAAATTCAATTGATGCGTGGAGGATGCTGACTGGTCTTTCTCTGCTCCATAGCTCCCCATGTCGGACATTTGTATACCATGATACTTGGGGATGTTCTGAAACGATGGCAGATTCTGTTGGGTGACACGGATGCGAAGCTCCTTACAGGGACGGATGAACATGGTTTGAAGGTACGATTGGGATAAATGGGCAACGGGCGTTGTTTGGGAAAGGTTTTGTTGAGTGCTAAGTGTTTATAGATTCAACAGGCGGCTGCTGTGGCTG